GTGGTCCCCTAGACCAGGGCTTTTCAACCTTTTCACTGATTGTACCACTTTTAGGATATGGCAATATTCGAGTACCACCTAGCAAGATGTCAAAAACTTGATGACCCCCCCCCAAAAAAACACCAAACCTGTTCAAAGTTGCAATTGCACTGAAATGACGTATGACCATTTTTCACACTTAATGACCATTGCAGCATGCCCAGGGTCATGTGATTTATATTTGGATGCTTGGCAATTGATTCATATTTATGATGGTCACAGTATCCCAGGGTCATGTGATCCCCTTTTGCAACCTTTTGACAAGCAAAGTCAATGGCAGGGCTGCTGGTGGCCAAGTGCTAAGGCGGGACTTACTTCCCTCCCTCCCTCCTTCCCTGCCTCCCTCTTTCTCATGCCCACCTCCTTCTGAAGGAAGAATTTGAAATACCCCCCCCCCATATTTTCTCTCTTCCATATATTCATCAAACAAGGAAAAGCTTCCAGAGACAGAAAAGACAAACTGCTGAGTGAACTAGCTTAAAAAGGCACATTCCCCTTTAAGAATTAGCTACTGGCTAGAAAGCAAAGTTAAGGAGCGTAGCCGGCACTTAAGAAAAAAAATGTAGTAAGTATTGGCTGTCGGCTAAGGCAGTCTCCCCAAATGGCTCCATTCATAAGTAAAGGAATGCTACAGGCAAAATCCATTCAGGAGAAAAATACTTCAAAATCCCTTGCAACAAAACTTACAGCTAACAATAGCAGAGCAATAGAAGACATCAGCCATCAGCCAAATAGAAATTGCCAAACACTTCTTAAGAACACAAAGCCCACATTGCACAAATCCCAGAACTTCAAAGTCACAAAAGCACATAAGAATCCTTCCACTCTCCATCTCCCTCCCTCCGTGCCTCACCTCCAGCCATTGCTGCCTTTTTTCATTCCTCGTGGAGGGTGACCCCTCCCCTGCTGTATTTCTTGCCTGTTTGCTGCTGCCAGCACAGGTGGCTGCCACAGCAGTTGTAGATCGGCTCATGACCGGCCATCTTGATCTTCTCTCCTCTCCCACTCTCCTCTTCCTCCTCCTCCTTCTTTCCCTTCGGTGCAGCTAGAGCTGACTCCCCTTCATCCCAAGGCTGCTGTTTTTTTTCTCTCTCCCTCTCCCGCCTAAACTGCCTCCTTTTACAGCCTCTCCTGTCTCCAGCCCCCTCCTTCTCCTTTCTCAGCCACTATGCAGCTCCAGAGGACTCTCTCACAGTAAGTCCTTGCTTGCACTGGCTCTTTCCCTCCCCCACTACACTTGGCTAGGCAGGGCTGCATACCTCCTGCCACTCGTTAATGTACCACAGGTGGTACGCATACCACCGGTTGAGAAGCCCTGCCCTAGACAATTATTTTCTATCTCTGTTATTTAAAGTACAGTGTAGAGAAGCACTGAAAGGGGAAGCAATCGATGTCATTAATTCAGAGCATGAAAATGAATTCTAATGTCATGAACTCTTTATTTTAGAAATCCAGGCAGCATGACATTAACCAGAGTAGGGTGATACATGGGTTTTTTTTAAAAAAAAACTTAGTAAATTCTGAAATCTGCTCACTCTGAAGCTTATTAATTTGCCTCCCCCATCTCTGTCTTTTAGATTACCCTGCACTCTTAAGGTCAGCCAAGGTTGGTGAGGGCAATGAGAGTAGGCAGTGGAATGTAGGTGGTCAAAAGAGCAGAGATAGATGGGGGAGTATAAGCAGGGGTGAGTGTGGCAGGACAGGAGTGTGAAATCCTGGCCTAATGACCACCACTGTAACTACCAGAACTGCCATCTTTAAGCAGTACAATCATGTGTTTTGCCTAATGTCGCATAGTTTAGCGACAGAAATTCAAGTCCCAATTAGGATGCTTAAGCAAGGATATATGCAACCTGGGAACATAGTCTCTCTAATTCAGAGGTCTCTCTCCAATCTTTTGGGCACCAGGAACCAGTTCCGTGGAGAAAGGTTTTTCCCGTGGCCCAGAGGGGGCGTGGTTTTGTGTGCTGACTTTGCTTGTTTGTGTGAACTGGTGCTGGTCCATGGACTGGGGGTTGGGGACCCCTGCTCTAATTGCTTCTGAAAATTTACTCTGGAAAAGATGTTGATGATATAACATGCTAACTAAATGAATTAACTGAATAGCTACAAAAACTCTTCAACCCCTTAAAAGCTTTCCTTGAAAGCAGAAATAAAACATAATTGCAGGTTTAATCAACAGCAACAGATTTAGGGAACAGAGTTATGAAGCGCGGAAGGTGACAAAGCTTTGTTTGGGTATTGGAGAAGTCCTCTTGCAATTTTTCCAGAGAGTTTGTACAGCCGAGGGTGGAGCATTATTTTTGCTTTTCCACTCCATGCATTTTTTCTGACTTCCTGGCATCATCTCTGTTTCTTGTAATTTTATACCTGATAGGCTGATGTTAGGAAGTAAGCTTTTAAAGCAACGTAATGACAAATATATGCAAACGTATTTGTCATGGGGCAAATGATGACAGCCGTTAAGATGTTCCCATTAGACTTCCCGGAGGGATGAACTTCATTCAGCTCTTTTTTTTCTCTCTCTTGCTGGTCAAAGCAGCCCTGAAGAGATTCTCTGCTCTGGGTGCTTTTAATAACCTTCCACTTTTGCCCCTCAAAAGCTTAGAAGGGTGCACTGGCTGACTCAACTCTCCAATCACAAGCACCTAAACAGTGCTCAAGCCTAGGCTGTTGAACACTGGGTGTGAAACTGCATGCTTAATGAATACAGGGGGCAAGGATTGATTATGCCTTGGACTTGGAAGCAGCAGCTGCCTGTGAAACAGTGTTACATCTAAGCTCGCTATGGAAAATATGAAGGAATGCTGAAGAAGCTAATTTGCAAAAGGATATGTTACTGTAAGCAATTTTGTGTGTGTGTGTGTGTGTGTATGTGTGTGTGTGTGTGTGTGTGAGAGAGAGAGAGAGAGAGAGAGAGAGAGAGAGAGAGAGAGAGAGAGAGAGAGAGAGAAATTTCCCCCCTTCAGGGAGGAATAAAAGATCATTAAGCATTTTTTTTATTTGCTTAACTGTTATTAAGAACAGACAAAGGCCTCTTTAAACAAGCATGTGTCTATGTAAAGCTAGACGGTCATTCATAAATGAGCTTTGTAGAAACGGAAGGAACAGCAGTGATGGATGGATAATGGCTAAATGTAGGGAACTGTGTACTGTCTGGTTTAAAGTCCATTGAAAGCAGTGAAAGCAAAGCAGGTTTGGATATAGCTTTATGAAATGTGTTGCTTGACTTGCAAGCCTCTTCCTGCAATGTGAACTATTATGTAGCACTCAACTGTCATATGGGGTGGATTTTATTCTGACTTTATAATATAGATCTGACTGCTAGATTCCCATTTCCTGAAGTGCGTGGTCAGATTTTAACCTGTTCTTTGTTTCTCTTTCTGCTCTGCACATGTGCTCTCAAAAACCTGATGTCTGGAATAGCTTAGATTGTTAACAGTGAAAATTAAGTCTGGAAATAATATAATGTTATTCAAACTGCTACTTAGATTGATTTTTTAAAATTATCACAGATATTTAAATGTCTTTTCTGGCTGTTTATATCTAACCTTTAAAAAGCAATGAGTTTTACTAGAGTATTTTTTTCCCCTTTGATGTATTATAAAAAAACAAAATGTGCTTCTCAAAAGAAACTATTGAAAATTGTACTTTCTTTAGTTAATACTTCAATATGGGAAGCCACACCCCTGAGTGTATGAGAGAGAGAACAATATTCTGTTCATCTATTTATGCTATTTATTTTACTGCTAATCTGCTCAACAAGGTTTTGAACAAATTAATTCAATGCTTCAAATTAAGATTCTTTTGCTTTGATAAAGACCTATCTGTATAGTAATTGAACATTTCATATTGCTTGTAAAATTTTATCAGGGTCCTAAAGATAAGGTGTGATACATCTTTTCCACAAGTGACAATAACAAAATTAGACTAAGATGAGCTGATAGCTTTATTTTATAAGCTCTAAAGGTGTTACACTGCACCCTTTTATGAGCACATGGTTTAATGATTTCATTGCTGATGACTTGCATTGAAATACAGTATGCAGAGCATGGATCTTACTACTAATAGTTCACAGAGTCACTTTAAAAAAATCAGAGGGTGTGGTATTATATCTAGGCCTCTATCTCCCACATGTTTCACTCATATAAGAAAGGAGATGTGTGTTGAATATGTTGTTGAGTAGAAAAAGACTGAAACAAAGGCATTTGGTATGGCATCACTGTCAGCAATAAAGTTTAAAAATTGATGGATTTGTTGGGTATCACACAGACATTTATTCCCAGTGATCAGACTTCAAAAAATGGGGAAATTAGTTTTGTGAACCCTGTAGACTTACGCTTTTGATACTGGGGGGGCTTTCCAAACTAGGTTGTGATATGATTGTGAGAGTTAGCCATCAGAATAAAAATATTCCACAAAAGGTCCTCATTTGAATATAAACAGCTAGTTGGAGCTCAGCCCATGTTTATAAATCATACTTTTATAACAGAGGAACATCCAGAGAAGTAGTATTCAGTATTAGAATAAAACATTCATCAATTTTTTTTAAAAAAAATCAAAACATAGAAATACTAAAATGCTGAACAGAAATCCACAATGATTTAGTCTGAAAAAGGAAAATTACCAAAATAATTTGGAAATGTACATAAGGAGCAGTGGCATGAAGGTTGTTACAGATTACATTTATAATAAATCCATGGACTTGACTCAGTCTTTACATGGTTATCTTGTGAAGCCTCTGTCTTCCAATGGTCATTCAAAAGCAATATAATGTATGTTTAATTTTAAGTGACTGGGTCCAGGCAGGCACATATCTCCATGTGCATATTACTGAATAACAGGTTGTGTCCCGCTGTAATATGTTATTTCATTTGTTCACATTTGCAGAGCAAACTTGCTTCAAACTGGGAGATGGTTCTAAATAACTCTATGAATTTTATGTTGTGTTTGCTTTGTAGATAAACATTTTGATGATGATGACTCTGTGGATGGGAACCGACCATCCTCAGCCAGTTCCTCAACCTCTTCAAAGGCTCCCTCGTTATCTCGAAAAAGTGGGGTGGGCACTGCTCGTAGGGTAGGAGCAGTAGCTTTAGTCGCAAAAACTCCAGGTAGGTCCAGCCCTTGCAAACACCTAAACATTACTTCTTTCAATCTATTTTTTGCCTTTCCATTTTTTATGCATGGTTGGAACAGTATAATACCACCCTCAGTGCACCTATTTGTTGATTTGAGGAACGTACTAAAAGACGTAAAATATTTGAGATTGTGTCATGTCAACAAGCATATCATCAAATACGTTTATTATAACTAGAGGTAGTTCTTGTTTAGCAGTTACAACAGTGATAATCAAAAAACTTTGCAACCAATCCTCACATTTACAATCCTTGTAGCTCTATAAACATAGGACAGCGGAAGTAAGATCCTAAGCACAGTTGTAGTTTGTTCACCTAACAGCCAGGTTGCTGATCCCAGTTGGGATCACTAAACTACCTAACATCATTTAATAACATTGTTTAAAATGTTTAAAGAAAACTTTCTGACATTTTAATAAAGACAAATTCTTAAGATCAGATTTATATTCAGATGCAATTTTCTCTGGCTCTTCTAAAGCCAGGAGCTTTTCAAATATTAAGCTTAGTTTATGGAAATGGAATGCGTTAAATCCAGTGATGGGGAACTATCTAATAAATATACAGGTAGTCTTTGACTTACAATCACATTTGAGCCCCAAAATTTATGTAGCTAAGTGAGACATTTGTTAAGTGACTTTTGCCCCATTTTGCAACCTTTCTTGCTACAGTTGTTAAGTGAATCATTGCAGTTTTGCTAGTAACATGGTTGTTAAGTGAATCTGGCTTCCCCATTAACTTTGCTTGACAGAAAGTTAGAAAAGCTGATCACGTGACCCTGGGATACTGCATCTGTCATAAATATGAGACAGTTGTCAAGCATCTGAATTTTGATCACATGACCATGGGGAAGCTGCAGTTGTCATGTGAAAAATTGTCATAAGTCACTTTTTTCAGTGCTGTTGTAACTTCGAACAGTCACTAAACGAACTGTCGTAAGTCGAGAACAACCTGTATTTTATTGTAGTACTTTCAGAAAACTTTTCAAAAATAGAGTTCAATCTAATTAATGTTTTAAACTGCCTTATTCATTCTTATATATCCCAATCAATTATATCACGTTTACATTAATTATACATGAATGTATACACAATGTATACACATATACATTAATACACATACATTATTTAAATAATTTATAGAAAAATTATATTCGCTTTTCTAAACTTCACCACTTTAGAAAAAAAAAACAAATTCCATCTCTTTCAGGCAATATTCTGTCTTCTTTGATTGTTTCAATCTTTTCCTTAAGAAAGCCTTTTTCTGAAGACATTGCATGCTTTGCCATTTCTTTTTCTTTATTCCTACTACAATAAGACCTGTTTTACATATAGTTTATATAAATTTCTTCCCTAACTGTTATTGTTGCCTACTTATACTCCCTCTTTCATTTTCTAGCAACTAAAGAAGGAGCTGGAGCCATTGATGAGGAGGATTTCATTAAAGCTTTTGAAGATGTCCCAGCTGTTCAGGTAAATTGCTCATAGTGTGGTTAGAAATAAAGCACACTAGAATGTCTGGGTGGAGATGGAATGCATTCTTTATGAAGACACTATCTGGAACTTTTGTTTGCATCTCAGAGAGGGACAAAGACATGGTAGTAAAGTTGATTGGATTGGCAAATCATTTCTTTTCCAATATTGCCAATGGGACAGCAGGTTACTTTGAGACTGTAAAGCAGAACATGCCATGAGAAATTTGGTAATCGAACAGAATGAAATGGTGAGGAAACACTCTTAAATCTCAGTCTTAAGTCATGAATGATATTAGGAGTAATTGTATAGTTTTACAAGAGGCATAAAAGACAGATTATAACACACTGAGGTATGTTTCCTTTGTTAATGGAAGCTGGTTGATCTAGTGGAGACATCCCTAAGCAGAAAATGGGGAATTGTTTTTCTTGGATCCCTTCTTTTCTTTGTAATTCCATCCTATCCCCATTTGCACTAGAGGAGTTCTCTTTGGATCACATGAAAGGTAAACAGGATGCTGCAGTAAAAAAAGGGACGTTTTATTTATTTATTTAAAACATTTATAGACACGTCCATTGTTCAACCAGTTCTGGGCGGTTCCCAATCAAACAACAGGAGAAACATAAAATTCTGTTTAAGACTATAAAACCATATCATTTAAAATATTAAAAACAATAAAAACCTGACATTGTTAGATAAAAGAAGTTCCCATTAATAGAAGTGCACAGTTGGATACAATTCATGTTTTTTAAATGGGCAAAATTAGAGCAAATTAGGCAGCTTTTATATCTTTTTCTGGGTAATGTGCAATTAGAATATTTGGTTTGGTGTATATAATAGTAAACTAGATCATGTGGTAGTGACTACACTGTTTTCAGGAAGCATCACAGTGGAATTCAGCTGTATCTTACTGTCTTCAGGGACAAGTTGGTCTACTTGTTCTGAGTTTAAAAATTAGGGATTGTCATGTTATTATTATTCCTTGTGACTACAACAATGAGGTTTTTAGTAACTTCAATAATTTTGAGTTTTTAATATTTTACATGCAATTTACCAATTTATTTTATTTATTAAATTGTTTTATCAGATACCAAATTTTAGATTGTATCTATACTTTGCTATTTGGTTTTTAAAAAAAAAAAACAAAAAACTTTAACTTTTGGTTTTCTAAAAAATTTGGTACCTGGTAAAAGAACATTCAGACATATCCCTTGATTCCCTTGTAACCCAAAATACGTTTACCTTCAAGTAGAATGAAAGCCCTTATCTTTTAATGAAATAACACAAAGTAAAGAAATATATGCATTTGATATCCTGGATTTATATCCATATCTTTTTGCCAATGTTATGGAAAAATGAATTGTCTTTGCACATCGGGGTCCCTCTTTTTAGTAGTTTTCTGCTCCTCTCATGCATTTTTTTCTGAACCATCTAATATATATTTAGAGGTGTATAAAAAATATGTGATGAGGCAGGGATAATTACTTGTAGTTCAGTGAATTCTTCTAACTTAGTAAAATAATTTATATACATTTTTGTTACAGATTTATTCTAGCCGAGACTTTGAAGAATCCATAAATAAAATCAGAGAAATCCTGTCTGATGATAAACATGATTGGGAACAGAGAGTAGCTGCAGTAAGCATTTAATTGTATATGAATGCTTTTATGTAATATAACCTACTTGGCATGGGACTTTGCATTTTATGATATGCTAGAACAGTAATGGCGAACCTTTTAGAGACCAAGTGTCCAAACTGCAACCCAAAACCCACTTATTTATCACTAGGTGCCAGGTAGGCGTGGCCCACTGGGTGGGCGTGGCTGTGGTGGTCATGACAGACTGGGTGGGTCTGGCCAAGATGGGCGTGGTCACCTCTATGTTGCTTGTGGGGAGGGATGCCTGCGGGGGCCAGGCAAGATTGGGGGAGATCCAGGGGATCTCTGGCAGGTTGGGCGATAGGCAGGAGGCTCATCCTGCAGGGTGAGGTGAGGCCGGGGCGGCGGCTGCCTGACACCATCACCCCCCCGCACAAAGAGGCCAGTGAGCGCATGGGGGCAGACAGTGTCTGTCAGCAGCCACAGCCTGCCAGCCCCTCGACCAGCGCATTCTGGGACTCTGCAGCCTGCCGCCAGCAATTCAGAGAAGCCGCCTCTGAGCTGGATGGCCAGCCGACAGCTGAGAAGGTGATGCAGTGGGTCGTGTCCGGGAAAATGAGAGCATGTGAGGCTAGGAGGAATGGGACAGGGGGGAGGGAAACCAGCCGTGCTGGGATGCATCTGGCCACATGGGACCTCGCCAAGTTAGTGGGCGGCTTGTTGAAGAGGGACGGTTGCCATCTCTGGGGCATGGCATACGTGCCCACAGAGAGGGCTCTGAGTGCTGCCTCTGGCATGTGCCATAGGTTCGCTATCACTGTACTAGAAGATTGGATAATCTCTACTGTGTCTGTATATTTCTGCAAATTGGAACTTTGAAACTTCAAGACATCCTGAAAATTCTCATTTCCTGTTGGAAAAAAAAAACCAAGCAAGAATTGTCAGTGCTTAATTTTCAAAGCTGTAGAGGGAAGTTTTAATAAGGCACATTTTCTATGGTAGGCTTCATATAATAAGAAGTTGCCCTTCTCTTTAAGTGTGCTTCCAAGTTGGTTGAATCTATTAAGAACTCTATTTACATTTTTTAAAGTTATTTTAAATATATATATGTTAGGATTTTAACATGCTTGGATTTTAGCTTATTACTGTACCCTATCTCGAGATTTCACTGAAATAGAAAATATAAATAATACAATTTTATCACATTGACAAATCTGCACTCTATAGATCAGTGGTTCTCAACCTGTGGGTCAGGACCCCATTTGGGGTCGAACGACCATTTCACGGGGGTCGCCAAACAAGGCTGTCCGCCATTTTTCCCCCCTTTTCTTTGGCCACGCCCCTGGCACCCAGTGATGTATAAGTGGTTGGAGGTCACCACAACATGGGGAACTGTATTATGGGGTCGCGGCATTAGAAAGGTTGAGAACCACTGCTATAGATGATAAGTGATAAAATAGTTAATTTTGTTTCCTATGTTCAATTTGTGTTCAACAGCTGAAAAAAATCCGGTCTTTATTATTGGCTGGAGCTGCTGAGTATGATACCTTCTTCCAACATCTGCGCTTGCTTGATGGAGCCTTTAAATTATCTGCTAAAGACTTGAGGTCCCAGGTGGTGCGAGAAGCTTGTATCACATTAGGGTAAGGAGCACAATCTATATATTCTACATTATGTTAATTATTGTCTTGGTGAAACTATATGTTTTTTTTCCTCTGATCAATCTCTTCTATGGTAGGAGAGTGAAAGTACACTTTGTTGAATAGGTAAAGGGTCACTCCTTGCTGTAAATCTTTATCACTCTAATTTGTTTGAATGACCCAGTTTGATTTCTGCTTTTTCTGAGGAAGGGGAGACTGGATCCTGCCCTTTTATGTGAAAATGGGAACACTTATGCTTAATTTCTATGGCATTCTCCTATACGATTTGTGTTAACACCACATAATGGGGCACTCGTGAACATTCATGGGATGGGATGGATTGGGTCTTCTGACTCCCATAAAATGGTCTCTGAATCCTTCACCTCCAATCCTATGTACTCTCTCATATTCCTGGGGATAGCCTCTATTATTTCTGTCCTGGAATACTTTGAGAGAAGAGGCAAATGGCATTTTTTTTTGCCTTTTCTTCAGTAGCTGATCTCCACCCCACACTTCATGGGTGGGGGCAACTTTTTCTTACCTGCCCTTCAGTCAACCCTGGGAAAAGAACTGGTAATGAAACAAAAATCAAAGACAGAAAACAAAGTACTACAGCACAAATACTTGCGAATTGAGGATCAGTGCAGGAAGTTGTTATTAAGATCTTCTAATTTTCAGTCTAAAGCATGTCTTTTATATCATTTTCATTTCTGGACAACTTGGCATTTCCATATCTGCTTATCTGAATAATCATGAAACTGAAAAAAATAACAAAGAATTATTAGGTGATAAAACCCTAATTGGTAACTCTTCAGTATTTTAGTAGTATTTCCTGCCTCAGAGAAGTAGTGGAATTGCTGGGAGAAAGAAATCCATCTCTGCTGTTCTTAAAATACTCTGTTAGTTTATGAATATATTTACCACTAAGCATGTCAGTGACTCCAGCTTCATGTCAGATATGTCCTTTAACGCTACAGCAATTGTCTACCCTGATATCGATAGTGTGAATAACCTGTGCCACATCTGTGAACAGGATTTTGCAAAAGTTATGCAAGTGAAATGGCCTGCTTTCTTGTCCCCTGTATATTAGTGCCGTTTTGCAGTTACAGTGGATGTTGGTTCAGAAGCTACTCTCATTGTTCCTTAGTTAGGGGGATATAGGTTTGTAGTTATTCATTAATTATTTTCAGCAGGTTTTATTTGTAAATGTTATCTTGGTTATTAAGGAAATGCCCATGGATAGATGCTATGACAAATGTATATTTAAATAATGTGATAGCTTGTATTTCTATAGAAATAGGAAGATGAAAAACAAATTAATCGCAAGTATCTTTACATAAACCAAACATTCTCCTCTCTGTTCCCCTCTCATTGTTATAATTGAGAAATGTTTATTGGAACTTCAAAAAATTTCACCATTACTGGCATTTCTGTAGCCATTGTTTCAATAATCCAGTGGCAGTTTCTGTCTTAGGTGCCTGAAAGCTTTCCTTAAATCTTATTTTATAGGATTTAATACTTTGTCTAGGTTCAATCAGAGTTCAGGGTGAAAGTTCAGGTATTTTATTTGCCTTGGCACTTTCATTCTGTACTGCAGTTTTCTGGAAACACTGATTTTAAGCAAAGGGCAAGAGGGATTGTTAATAGCAGCTCTAAAATTCACAAACCCCAAGGCAAGATGGAAAGAGAAGGTCTGACCAACTGATCAAGCAGTTTAATAGTATCCTTTGGCCTATCCATAATAGCTTCACAGTGATCTACTCCAGACTGATTCCTTGTGAAAACTGACCATCATATCAAGTATTGGGGGGGGGGGGAAACTGAGAATACTTTGTTAACACAGATGCTGTGTTTGTAATTTATTGTTAATTTAAAGACCAGGAATATAATAGCCTTGCCTAACTGCATCTTGGCCTAATCTCCTCTTTAATTTTTGCGATCTGTTTTCTTGTTTTATTTCAGACATTTGTCATCGGTATTGGGTAACAAGTTTGACCATGGGGCAGAAGCCATCATGCCAACAATCTTTAATCTCATTCCCAACAGTGCCAAAATCATGGCAACTTCTGGTGTAGTAACTGTGAGGTTAATTATTCGAGTGAGTATTGCTCAATGCAGATACAAATTGTTCTCCCATGTACTCCTGATGAGAGCAGCAGAGGGATGTAATAAACATGAAAATCAGTCCAATTAACAGGCTCTTGCACAGAATCTTAAACAGGCCTTATAGTCAGCATGAGAGATTCACTTACTGTTTGCCTTGCATCTGTGTTTGTGTAAACATTACCAGACTGGAAATTCAAAAAGCTGAAATTAAATTGTGCTCTCTGGATTGTTTTCTTTCTAGTCTGACAGTGATATATTCTACAGTTGTTACTTGTTAAATGTCGATGAAGAATAGGATACATCTGCTGAAGAATATATATATTTTAATGGAAAGCACAGCTCTGCATTAAAAACAGACCTTCAGTTTGCATTCAGATGTTATAAACTGAGGTTTGATTTACCATTGCTGCTTTTTAGTTTAACATTTTTTTGATGTGAAGGAGAAGCAAATCTGTGTTCTTTTTCATGGAAAGAGTATTAAAAGGTCATTCGGCTGTACCTGCAAATCACAGCATGTGAAAATTCTTCTAAATTTTTCCATTGATTTAGTAGAATGCTAGTATCCTTCTACTGGCCACAACTGCACTATTCTTTACGTGTGTGGCAAAAAAACAACAACCCCTAAAGTAGATTTGATTGATTTAGCTGATATATAAATCTGCTTCATTTTTTTTAATGTATGCCTTTAATATCCCATCATTATATTCAAGCACATATTTCTTTAGTATCTAGTAGCTTCATTTCTACCACATTCAAAATTACAGTTTGAGGTCCTCTTTGGGAAGATGACTATAAACTGCATCCTAGGTTTTGGAGTCCACATAGAGACCAGGACCCTACATGCATTCATTGTTTAATTGAGCTCATTGGCAGTAATAGTCAACAAGGAGCATCAAGCATAAATATGTTTATGGTAAAGTCAGAATTCTAGTTTGACATGACATGCAGTCAGAATCTTTTTTGAAGATGCAAAATTAAAAAAAAAACATAGAGCTGGGCTTATTTATGAATTGTTGGTAAAGTATGATTGAGAAAGTGAGCAAGCCTGCATGATTAAGTAGGCACAAAATTTAAATAGAACAATCAACATGCAACAATCAGAATATCAATAGAAGAAACATATAAATCATACATTAAGTTTTATACTTAGAAAAAATAGTATAAGATGTTCTGGTGATGTTTTATTACTGCAGTGCTGATTAGTAAAATCAAAAATTGGTTCTTTTAAAAACTGTTGGAAATTCAGTAAATAGGTTGATTATTTTTCATATTTGTGGGCCGTGTTATAAAATCCAACTCTGGAAAATAATTTGTAACAACATGAAACACATTTTAAAGGATTTTTTTCCCGTCATCCTGCAGTTTTTAATTAAATATTATCAAGCCTTATATTTCCATAAAATATGCTCAATTAGCTTTGCACATGGTAAAAGCTGCAATAATTCTTTATGCTATTCACTGGAAATTATATGGAAGTATGCTTTGATATTAAAATTAACTTCAGATTTGAAAAACAAATTTAACAAAATGTAGAAGCTGTGAAAACAGAAGTATATTCCAAGACCATTTGCTTTTTAAAAATTTGAACTTTCTACATTAAAAATACATTGATTTGCTTGCTAGCCATGGAAAAGCGTGAAGACCAGCTCTGGTATTACAAATCTTTGTGAGCCTGCTCAAGCTACGTTCAATGTTTTCAATTTGATAATCAGTTTGTTTAAGCTATTGCTTTTTACATTTTGATTGTTTTTATTCCCTAGCATACACATATCCCTAGACTAATCCCCATCATCACCAGTAACTGTATCTCCAAATCAGTTGCAGTTAGAAGGTGAGTTATGCATCTATGGTCTGCATTATAACTTAAACAATTATATGTTATTATGAAATAATTATAAAAAAACAGCCTGGTTTTAAGAATAATTAGTTATATGAATTTCCTTACTTTTTTCTCCCTCCCTCCCTCCCTCCCTCCCTCTCTCTCTCTCTCTCTCTCTCTCTTTCTTTCTTTCTTTCTTTGAGGGCTTTAGGGTTATTGATAGAAAGATTGCTATTGTTATTTAGTTTTTGAGCTTTCGAATCATCCTGATTCTGACCAGCAGTGATAGATGTGGTGGAAGAGGGCCTTTTTGTAATCTCCATTTAGTGAAGAATCGTCAGACCTCTAGTTCATGTCTTTGTCATTACTGAGCTGGACTATACAAATATTGGCAGCTATTTTTAATGACTAAAAGCTATCAATATCAATCTTTCTTGCTTCCTGTGCTTTTGCAGATATAAGTAGAGCATACAGGTAATTCTCCTGTGAAATCCTCAATAGTATTGATCTACACACATTTAAAGAAATGTCTCTTTTTCCCTGATTGGGTAGAGAATCAGTTTCAGACCAACCTGTTTGGGAATATTTTTTCCCCTTCTTGTTTGGTCTCTTTAAGTCGTTTTGGACTCATATCAGCCCCTTCTGTTTTCTTGGCAACATTTTTGGTTTGCCCTCGCCTTCGTCCTAGGGTTGAAGGATTGTAACTGGTCCAAGGTTACCCAGCTGACTTTGTACATAAGCTAGGTCTAGACCAGTGGTTCTTAACCTTTTTGAACGAATCGCCCCCTTGAGCCAATGAGGAAGTTGTCATCGCCCCCCTCCCCCAACATAACCTCTCAATCACAACATAGGAAATAATTCTTCAATTTATGCAAACACATTTTTTGTTTTCTTTAAAATTGTCATCAGGACATATCGATGCAAATAATTTATTTCCAGTCTTTTTCCCATATCTCCCATATTCTGGCCAATGGCATGCCACTGTATGGGTAGAAGCTGCTGCGCAACGCGCATGAAGATAAGCGATGCATATTCACATATGTACTGCGTTCTGTACTGAAGCTAGCTGGAGGAACATTTGAAAACACAATTCAATCCACTATTAGCAAGCAATCTGATGTTTTTGTACGACAGATATACAGCCATTCACTGTACGAAAAAGTCTCAAAAGTGTCCACAAAACTTCTCGCTCCATCGCCCCATATCGCTCCCTTTTTGTTCCTTCACCTCCGTGTTGCCCCTTTTCGTTCCATCGCCCCCCTGAAAAATGAAATCGCCCCCTGGGGGGCAATATCGCCCAGGTTAAGAACCACTGGTCTAGACCTCACAATCTCCTGCTTTTTTAGCCTGGTGCCTTTAATTATGCCACCAAACTGACTCTCGAGAACATCAGGTAACTGCAGAGCAAAGTATGATTCTCACAACTCATAAAATTATCTGCTATATCTGACTTCCATCTCCCATTCTATTTACTCAGCTCTGTCTACCAGTGTTGTGGGTTTTTCTTTTCTTTGATGCACCTCTTTGGTATTTATGTTGATCATATCACATCTGGTAACTATATTTCAAAATTGTCGTCTGTAAATCTTGCACAAAGTTAGCTGTTGGCCAAAGGCTGTTCCCCCCCCCCCAGAAAAATTATGCACGCAGCACTAGATAATTCCCAAGAATAATGCTGCTGTGTGCATTTATCTCTGAAATTAATCTGCTTAGATGAATAGTCACATCCTATTTACTGTTGTCTTGCAATTCTTAGAGTTCCTACTGGGGTTGTTTTGATGCATCATCCGCTTTTACCCTAAAGTAGATTTAATTTCATTTGTTATGCTTTTTGGTTCCTTACTAAGAACTGAATTGTCCAGAACATTTGTGGAATTTTTACATGCTCCCTAACTAATTCAGGGTATTCTTGGGAAATAGGGTAAAACCTGCTGGTTGTTATTCTTTGTCCCCTACATTTGCAACAATTTTGTATCAAAAAGCACATTAAAGTAGAAAAATGCCAGGTTTTGGCCTCGGGTTTTGTAGCATTCGACTATAAAATTCCAGATTTGTATCTTTATGATATCTGCTGTCACCTCTTATTCAGCCTGTGCATTTCAAGAATTTTAAATAAAGGTAACTATTTATTTATAAGTAAATACTTACAAGGAAACATAGCCTGATTTACTTAAATATAAAATTTACTAACAGACAAGCTAAATTATTTGTGGAGAAAGGAATTCAGTCCTCATTGGCCTTTTAGTAAATGACTGCATAATAAATTATTGAGCAGTAAGCATGATCAATTGTGATTACTTCTTGAGAAATCTTCAGTTGTGACTAAAAGAAATTACAAAGGAAAAAAAATCCTGCTGGAATACTGGAAAGTAATGAAGGTTAAAAAAGAATAACAAGATTAAAAAAAAAGATGCCTGAATGATTACAAAGATTCTGCAGTTAAGACAATAATTTAATACAGGCATTCCTTTATTCCTTCCATTTATTTAGTTCCTGAAATTACAGTGGAGCTGAATAAATAGTGGTTATGACCAGCCTTGGAGTTCCAGCTATCCCAGAGGCCCTGCAGTCACGTGATTGCAATCTGGACACTTGACAACCAGCTGCAGTGCCCCACAATTATGTGATTGCCATTTGCAATCTCCCCCCCCCACATACACTTCCCCAGAAAGTTAGTGAAAAAGCTGGCAGAGAAGATAGCAAGTCACCAGAGTAAGTTTTTCCCAACTGCACTTTTCTCCCAGCCCCTCTGTTTATCTTGCATTGGCCACTTGTGCACCCCTACATACCCTCCCTGACCCTCATCAAATCTCCCTTCTGCCGTCACTCATCTTCTCCAACCCATGCTGCATCTCTTATGTACTCCTAGCACCCGTCCCCTACCCCTGCACTCCTTTCTCCCACTCCCACCAGGAGCAGCCACTTAGCTGCCTGCTGGCCTGGAAGTTGCCTCGCCTAATGCCATGGGATGTGGTTAGGATGACAGTCGTGATTGCAAGGATTGCTGTCATTAAATGAGGTGGTCATGCTTGATGGCCACACTGCTTAGCAATGAAAATTCTGGTCCCAAGTCTGACACAAGTTGAAACTACCTGTACAATGCTGGCACATAGAATACTGCAGTTCCTGACTACAGCAAAACCCTGAGGGGCTGGCGGGCATTGGGTTAAGAAAAAATAAAATAAAATGAAATGATGGCCGTGACGGCATAGTTGAAGCCTCATCCCTTTTATGTTTGTCATGTGGCATACATAAAAAAGAGTGGTGCCTCAGTTGCATAGTCACAACCATCCTTTGAACATTTCTGACAAACTCTCCCCCCTCTGCTCATGCCAGACTAGAAGCACATGATTTTCTTTAAAGTTTTTATTTAGTAGCCTGAATACAGGATTCCTCAAAATACTTTTGAAATCGCTGTTTCATATCTAACTACTTGCCATTGATATAGTCTCTGGAGCAATATGAATGAAAATTACTTTTTTTTTTTCTCTCTCAGGCGGTGTTTTGAATTTTTAGATTTACTTTTGCAGGAATGGCAGACACACTCCCTGGAAAGGTAAGATATGAACATTATGATATGTGACATGTTGCTTCTCTGGCTGTATTTGAGGGGAGGGGAGATTCTGTTGAATGGAATTGAGATTTGGAATGTAAATTTAATGTGGCTCCTTTCTCGCCTAGCCTTGGAATGGTGGACAGACATTCCCTCTGACTCCAACAGAGCAATAAATAGAGACAGGTCTGGCTTTACTGGGGGGAAGAAAAACAGCTTCTTTTGCCTGTCTAGTGTCTAAACTGTTTCTATCCCAACTGCTCCGTATAAGAACTGCTATGTGACTTCCACAATTAGTGCTTCCATTTTGATTGCTTTGTTTCAGCCTTCTTTCACCCTTCATTCAGGTCACATTTGAGCTTGTAGCCTGTGGGTAGGCACTTTTTTGTCTTCAAGGATTTAGTAAGCTGCTCTTGAAGGCTTCTCAAGCCAAAGAATGGGGTAAAATGCTTAAATAAATGCATGTGCAGGAAAGATGAGCAGAGGAGATGGAAACTCCTAATTTATATTCTTTTTATTTTTAAAGGTGTCTGTTTAAAACAACTTTTTTTGTAAAGGGATCTATTTAAAATAAACATTTTTATCTGTAAAGGTATCTGTCAAGCCTCTGTGGGCTTGCCACTAATGGGAGGGGGAAGGAAGGGACAAGACCATCAAATTGAGGCATCCGGAGGCAGCGGATGGAACCAGCAACAGAGACGGCAGCAACAGCCCCTTCCCTTCCCTGTTACCTGTATGCTGGAAGGGGGAACCCTGTGGAGTGTATCTACGTGGCTGTCAGCTCCACAGCTGTCCCACTGAAAAGCTGATCAGTGCAAAAAAGTGGCAGGAAGCCGGAAGCTTGTCTCGCATCCCAGCCTGGCTGCTCTTACTGGCGCGCATGCCGGATGCTGGCTAGGGAAGTGAGGCCAGTCGGGAGGCATGTATTTAGAGCGCTGGGAGGTGATTGCTCCCAGTGCTAACTTTGCTGTTTCTTTGGATACTGCATGCCAGAGTGTTCTGTGAATAAACCAACCACCTGTGAACTCAGTGGCTTTTTTCTTGTTGGAGCCAGGGGTGTGGCAAGGACTTCTGACAGAAAATTAGCGCTCTTTTCTATCTGTCCCTACCTGTTACCCTTGGTCTGCTGACAGCGTTCTATACAGGTAACGGCTGAGGGCACACAGGAGCTGAGCCTATGGGTGAAGGGGGAGAGCCAGCAGAGGCTGGGGTGGCAGTGCCAGCACCGGAGGCTGGGAACAATGACGTCCAACCGGTGGTGCGGCCCAAGGTGCGCGAGGTCCGGGCCACAGAACTGGTGAACAACAAAGAGGCGGTCCTGGGGATGGCGCAGGAGGCAGGAACCTCAGGAGAGTGGTGGCATAGTTCAGCTGTGACCGGCCCATCAGCCGGCCACCTACACACATTGGGTGTTTCAGGAGAGAGAGGCGCCTAACGGATGTTGAAGGGGAGTGGAGCTATTCCACGGCACCGGGTTGGCATATGAGGGACGTGTTGTGGGAGAGTTTTGGAGAGGCTGGGTTCCAGGATCCCCTCTCATGGCTGCGTTGGGAGCTGGGGGCTGAGACAGCCTGCCCAAGAATGGGACCCCAGCCAACCCAGACTTCGCAGACCCGGTTCCGACTGACCAGCCCAAAACTGAGATTGGATGCTGGATGTATCTCTGACACTCCACAAGGGAGAGGCCCCACTCAGTGCATTCCTGCTCATCCCAGCAGGATGACTGCAGGCTGCGTGGGACAGGCGTGGGTGATATGGGAAAAGGAGGTGTTCGCCATACGGTGGGCACTGTTGACTTGGCGGCATTTCCTGGAGGGAGCCAAAGAACTGTTTGAGGTCTGGACGGACCATAAAAACCTTGAGGCTTTGCAGACACCACAGCGCCTATCCCCGAAACATGTTCGATGGGCACAATACTTTCAACGGTTTCGCTTTTGGCTGAAATATGTGCTGGGGGGGTAGGAACCTCTTGCTGGACGCTCTGTCACATATGCCCCAATACAATAGCTGGTGGGAGGAGGTAGTAGAGGCCATTATGCCTCCCTTCAAGCAGTCGGCCGCTCAGGTGGCTGCACGCAAACCGGCGGACGACCTGGTCCAGGAACTGCACAGAGCTAGCCAAGGTGACCTCTGGCTTCTGGAACAACAGGCCCTCCTAATTCAGAGGGAGTGGTTGGCGTGGAAGGGTAACAGGCTCTACGTCCCAGAGGCATTAAGGCCTAAGGTGCTACGGAAGTGCCATGACGTTAAATAGGCTTGTCACTTTGGGTTCCTCAAAACCCTGCACCTGATGAGCTGCCAATTCTGGTGGCCTCAGATGAAGGCAGACATAGAAGCATATGTATGGGACTACCCTGTGTGTGCTACCACAAAGCCTTGTACAGGGAGGTCACCTGGGTTGTTGCAACACGTGGCAGACCCGACCCGGCCATGGGAGGACATAGCCGTGGACTTCATCATGGAATTACCAGAGAGCCATGGATGCACAGTCATATGGGCAGTGGTCGATCTATTTACCAAGCAGGCCTATTTCGTTCCATGCAAAGGGTTGCCATCTGTTCATCACAGGGATGCCTGCACAGGATGCCCCGACGAATAATATTGGACCGGGGAGTGCAGTTCACTGCACGCTTTTGGAGGGAGTTTGTCCGCTCCATCCGATCGTCCCAGGGACTCAGCTCAGCTTTCCATTCCAGCACCAATGGGGCGGCTGAACGGGCCAATGCAATGGTAGAACAATACCTGCGGTGTTACGTAACTTACCAACAGATGGACTGGGTTGACCTATTACCATTTGCTGAGGTGGCATATAACAGCGTGGTCCGTAGCAGCACTGGATTCATCCCTTTCCTGGTGGTTCATGGGATGGAGCTTGTCCTGATTCCTGAGTGCCCTCAGGAGGACCTTTCCCCCGCCAACCCTAGGACTGGATAGACCGCATATGGGAGATCTGGGAGACCATAAAAAGAGTACTACAAAAAGCAGCAGAGGTCTAGGACGATAAGAAACGGGCGCCTCAAAAGCCCTTTCGAGTGGGGGATATGGTATACCTGTCGACCAAGTACCTGTGCCTGAAAATACCCTGGAAAAAGCTAGAGCCAAAGTTCATAGGTCCATTTTGGATTGTACAGGTCATTAACCCAGTTGCTGTGAGGCTACAGCTACCCCGTCTTTGGGGGAAGGTGCACCCAGATGCTAGACTCCTGAATCCATCGGGGTCGCTTGCAGTACTTGGTACGGTAGAAGGGGTACCCTGTCATGGATGCATCATGAATGGGGGAAGCGAACATAAAAGCCCCTGTTTGCTGAGACTATTCCATCGACAGAATCCCCGTAAGCCAGGAGTGGGGTTAGCTGTGTTGGCCGCCGTAGTTCATGACTAATCGCACGTCTCTCCTTGCCTTCTAGAATGTTTGTTTTACCTTTCTACTTAACCTTTGAGAGATATTACCCTAGCCACTGAAAAAAATAGTGATTGTCTTGGTGTAGGCAAAAGGCAAGGACATTCAGGGTGCAAGGAAGTAGTTACAGAGAATGCCCTCAAATTGGAATATGTGAATATTTTGTTGACCCACATAAGCTTAGCAAGTTGGTGTTGCCGAAACCCTTCAGTATAGATCAAACATTTGGTTTAAAGCCACTCGATTACATTCTTGTATGGCTTCAGCATTTTAATGTATTTTAGAGTCTCCATGCTTCTGTGGTTTCCACATACAAAGGAATGACCTCCAAGGAATGTTTCTTGGTATTTTTTATAAAAGAGAATGAAATGTAATAAAGCTCACTGGTACAAACAAACACCCACACCTTCCAAAAGGATACTGTGTATCCAGTTCTTTCAAATTCTGAGCAACTGGATAAACTTCGTTTGAATTCCAAATGTAATGCTGGAAGACTGTTTCTTCACTCCTCCCTCTGACAAGGTAAATAGTGATGTCTTCTAATTTCAGGCATGCATCAGTATTGGCTGAAACCATCAAGAAAGGAATCCATGATGCTGACTCCGAAGTACGGATAAAAGCCAGAAAGTAAGTGGGCATCTTTTTCTTTTAATTGTTCAGTCCATCAATAATCACAGGCTTCTATTTGCTGTTCAGCTGAAAATTTCTCCAGTAACTGATATTCCAAGGGAAGAAGAGGATCAGACCATTAAGAACTCAGGAAATGGACCATGTTATGCTTAATAATGATTCTAATCTTTTTACTGATGTACTTCAGACTAAATTTCATCAGACTCATTGGAACTTTTTTCTGCATAAGCCAAATAAAACTAGTTGTTGTTTTGGCTCTGTTTAATATTGTTTGTTCAGAAAATTAATGTTGGAATTTGGAAAGAAAAATCTTGATTTCAATATTTTCTTTGCTTAGTACCCCAAAGGTTCAGGCTTTTGCATTCTACAGGGTTGTTGCTATTCTCACTTTAGAATTTAGAACATGGTTTAATTTAATATAGAAGAGAAGTCTACCTATTTCTATGTTCAAAATATTGATAACTAATGGCAAAGTGGAAACTTATTTAAGCTTGTAATGTGCTCACTTCTTTATCTATTTTGTAATAGGAAGTACACAGACCCCTACGTCTATTTTCCAGTTTCTGCAGTCACTTTCCTACCAAAATATTAAATTCTTTTAAACAACGTTTGGAAGCATAAATACTATATGTGAAAATTAATAGGTTTGTTGTAATTATACAGTTACCATAATTGATTTTCTCTGCTATGTTTTCCAGTTTTTTTCTTAAAATCTATTAAGGCTCTCTGGATGGTTAGAATCTGACATGCTAGTTTACTATTCATCAATCAATGTAAACTTTTATTTTCAGGTGTTACTGGAGCTTCCACAGCCATTTTAGCCGAGAAGCGGAACATTTGTTTAATTCACTGGAATCCTCGTACCAGAAAGCCCTGCAGTCTCACTTGAAGAATTCTGATAGCATTGTGTCTTTGCCTCAGTCAGATCGCTCCTCATCTAGTTCCCAGGAGAGTCTCAAGTAAGCTTCCCTTCCACTAATATATGGCTATTGGATGAACTTAATACCTTCAAGTATCCCTTCCTCATCTATAAATTAGAGTTTTTGCATTTTAGAAATTGTTGTTTTCATGAATTAGGTAATACATGGAGTCTAAAAATGATTTTGCTTCCTTATTTTTGTTTCTGTACAGCATTTTTGTAGGAAAATTCAAAGTGCATTAATGTAAAGTATAAATACAAATAATATAGAATAATTCATCAGTGTTGATAAAAAATGAGTTAATATAGAATTAACATAAAATTCATTATGGAACAAAATCCATTAATTCTATTCCTTTTTAGCCGTCCATTGTCTACCAAAAGAAGCCCAACCGGAAGCACTACTTCACGAGGTAAGAATGAAAAGCCAGGAGAAGAAATGGTCAGATGTGAGGCAGAGTTCTTACTCATACTGCTATATTCGTTTTGCACGTTACTTTTATAAATTAAACACCAGGGGCCTAAGACAGAATGGTTCTAAATATAAGATGATTGAATGCTTTAAATATAAACCAGTGGGAAGAAATACTAAAATATGAATTGCTTTATTTCTTGTGTGTAATGATGGATGACGTGTAATGATGGATGATGGGGACAGAATATATACATACAGAGAGAGAGAGAGAGAGAGAGACAGACAGACACACATATGGAAAATGTTATTTAAAGATATAAACACCACATTTGATTAGAAAACTCATGTCCAGCATGGTTGTATTAATCCCTGCATAATACTTGCTGGGTATTACCAATCATAAACACCAGGGGGATCTGATAGCAACCAATAGAGATCAAAAATCCCAATACTTGCTGAGCATAGCCCTATCAAGCAAAATATGGTACATGAAATAGGTCAGTGTCTTGCCCTGCCATAAATTCATAATGTGCTGTGAGGAAAGAACTGTGCTATACAAAAGTATAAAATGTCTATTTGGGCTCTAAGATAGTATGTCTGTCAAATAAAATACATTTTTATAGTGGTAAACTGAGGATTTATGATGTTGTGAGTTTCTAAGTTATTGAAAGATGATGTTGGAATATAATGGATTTGGGAAAGTCTTTTGATTGCATTTACAAGTCTTAACCAGAATTTATTATTTTGAAATTACATTTTTATTAAGCTTAAATGTTTATGTGCTTAAAACATAAGTTGAGAATATTTCCTCTTCTTTCAAAAAGAATTGAAAAAATATTCTGAAGAGATTATGGTAAGAGACTCTTGGGATAGATTTATCTATAATTGTGGTTTTTCTTCTTCCTTAAAGCTTCTGCAGTTAAATCTGTGAAATCTGCGTCAACCTCAGGGTCTCTCCAGCGTTCTCGCAGTGACATTGATGTGAATGCAGCAGCCAGTGCCAAATCCAAAGTAATATCTTCTGGCTCAGATTCCCCCTTCAGTTCTGCTGCAGCCCTTCCTCCAGGCTCATATGCATCTCTTGGTAGGTGTACCTTGTTTTTCACAAAAAAGATACACAGGTAATCAGGACATTAGAAGTAGAAGGGAAATTTTGGTTTAAGAAATTCAGTTTTACAGAGGAATGTGGATTAAAAAGCAGTAGTGGGGCTAAGCCTACATATTGCACTGCATCATAAATCATAGTTTACAAGGTTCAGAGGTTGGGGTCACTGAGTACAATAATTCAAGATGAGAGCTTTGTTCCATATGTGACATCAGGTGATGCATAGTATGTGGAACATATATACAATGTTTACTAACTTTTTAGAGAAGTAAACTTCTTTCTAAAGTTTCTAAAGTAACTAATTAGTTTTGAGGGAAAGGTATTTTTGGTGGTGTTTATTAGAATTCCCTAGCAAGTCTTCAGAATTCTTTAATAATTCAAGTACATCGTAGTCTGAAGTAAACTTGTTAAAAAACCACAGTAGGTATAAAATGGGAAGTATCCTATCCTGATATTTCCAGAAAAAAGTTCATTTGAACTCACTGTCTAATCCAAGAATAAAAATGTGTTACAAAAAGGAAATAGATTCAGTGGAATATATCTCAACAACTTATTTGCATTGCTTATTGTTTATGGCCACCTTATAGATAACAATCTCTATTAAGAATGACTTGGACATGTCTGACATTAACAAAGCCTTAATTTAGTTAAAAGAAATAACTACTTTTGTAAGAAGCTGTTCATTATTGGTGATTACATGATATCAATGGCAATATGTTTGAACTATGATCTATGAGAGATCATTGCAGTGTGTAGCAATGGAGCCTCTTCCACTGCTGGCATTTTCTAAATATTCGTTATGCCAGCATGAAAAATTATATCCTAGGATTACTGAAGTTTGAGATGGCATACAAAGCTCTTTTCAGAACAAATAGATAATTCTTCTGAGACCCTCAGGTGATATCCTGTCTCTATGGATGGAGCCTTCTTGTGGAGAAAACAGGCAGAGTCTAATCTTCAGTAACAACTCTAAGGGGAAGAATTATCCTGCCTCCCAGACCGATCTTCTCCAGGGCCTGATTTTCCAACAAAAGTGGATCATGTTTGGGGAGTGAATTAATAGCTTAAGCGATTTCAGAGGACCTGAATGTTCTGCAGCAGAAAATGGAGTAGATTCATATCCCTTTCCCATCCCTGGTCAAAAAATGCAAAAGAAAAGAGGGAAGTGGCTCTGATTCCAACAAGAGCACAAAAGGAGTTTATAAATCCCGGGGCTGTTCCTGTGGTCCTTCCAAATTCATCCTCTTTCCAATTCTCAGATTCCCGAATTTCCTCTCCCTTGAGAATTTCTCTTAGAAAAAAGGCCAGAAAAATAAATGCCACAAGTGCTGTTTTTAAAGTGGGGAATGATGTTAGACAGAGCTCTTCATAATAATTTAAATCTCTTCTAAGATTTTGGAGATAGGGAAACTTATAATAAAGATTTTATACTTTCTCCATTTTTAAAAAAATTTCCAGCCAAGTCATAGATGGTATTCCATTTGGCTAATACATAGCAAGAAACAGCTGAGGAGCAAAGCCTTACTCTTTCTGTTTCCAGCGATGCTAAGTCTGGTTTCCAAAAGGATCATAAATTTGATAACAAACTGTGTTCCTTCCTGCCAAGTTAAAGAAGTTGTGGAGAAAAATTCCTTTGGTCAGTATGCTTGCAGGAGCCAATGGAGGAGAATCTCTTTAAGAAAACTGTTGATACTGTCTTAGTAGAAACAAAAAATAAAAGGCTTTCGTAATTCAGGAAAGGATAAATTTAAAATTATAGGTGTTATTGTCCTTTTGCCCCAATCTGCTTAGATGATCTCAAGGAGTAAGGAGTAACCAGATCCAGATATTCAGGGCCTCAGGTAAATCCATTTTCTAATAATGTGCTCTTCCAAAAAAAAAAAACAGAGGTGAGAAGAAAACATCAGCTATAGGCTACTGTACGGAATTCATTTATATGATAGGGAAGAAGCATCACCATTTTAAGTGGTCAAAGCATCAGGATTTTCTTAAGACTACCAACCATCTTCTATAAATCAGTGCAAAAGAACAAGTGTGAAATTCCACAAATCTGGAATTTATTTTCCAAAGTAAATGGAGGTATAAGGGTTACACTAGATCTCATGGAGTACCTAGAACAGAGATGCTTCAAAAGAGAGATACTAAGGTCAGTTTTGTCAACAATCAACCTGCAGTATTAGTCTCTGTAGAGCTAGTGGATCACGGGTGTCAAACTCGTGACATCATGTGATGTGTCGCGACATATCACAACTTTTTTCCCATTGCCGGCAATGGGGTGGGTGCGGTTTTGGCGTGACGCATCCGGCCCACAGGCCGGCAGTTTGACACCCCTGCAGTAGATGCTTACTTTCATCACCTGATTAGAAAAGAAACTGAAATTACAGTTCTGCTATGATAACATCCTTCTTAGTATTAGATCTTTCTTTTCTAGTTAATTCAAGTACTACATGACATTAGTAATACCAGTGGCTCATCTACAGATTTTGTTTCTGTAGTTAGCCAGCATTTTGATTTCAGCATCACCTGGGCAGAAGAACCACCTTCTATCCTTGGAGCTATTCCCAGCTGTCTACCTGAAACTGAACAGATATGATTAGGGGGAATATTCAGATAAAATCCACAAAAAATTATTTTCCCAAGGGAGAGTTTCTACTAATAAAATGTATGGGAAACCTTTTTAATTGATAGAAAGATATAAGCAAGTTGGGAATTTTCAGTGAAAAACTATAATTTCACAATTTTTTTGATAGAAGAGGCCATATTTAACTTTCTGACCTGGGAATCTAAACTGAGTCTTGACTGTGCCCATTTTCTTTGTCCTACATTTGAGCTTTTGCCTATTTGATATTTTGAAATTACTTACACTATCTCATGATAACCAGAACTCCAGTTAGCAGATATCAGAATTGAAAGGATTACCAGAATGCTGTTTTTTTTATACTTAGACATAGATCCTTGATATCACAGAAAATGGATGATAGTCCTCTAAAGTTTAAAATTGTGACTGATTGGCAGAAGCATCCATGGGGAAATGGGGGGACAAGTAACACAAGCACTTTCATGTTGCAAGTTCTATTTTTGTTGGACATGCAGTGTCACCTTGCATGCACACATGAAAGGGGCAGAGCTTATAACATGAAGCTGCTTTTGTCATTTTAGTGAAAACCTTCTGTCCTGTAGATACCACTAATGACTAGTTTTGTTTCACAGTGTTCAGGTATGTAAGATGTCTGGGTGATATTTTATTCTGATATCACAATAACATTGGAAGCTTTGACACCTGCATTTTCTTAAACAACTCCTCCAAGTGTTTCCATAAATTTGTATTCATGGTAACAAAATATATGGGTCCTAGTGGAGAAAAATGCACAAACAAAAAGCACAACTAATTTAGGAATTGTTTGTTTCTTGTTCAGACTTACTTATGCTTGAACATTAAATAATGTATGCAGCAGCATTAATACAATAAAATGAGTGATTGTGTTAGCTGCTTATATTAACAATGCATTATGTGGTCATTTTTAATCAACTGGAGCTGTTGTTACAATTTGGTCTGTAGTGAAGAAATATCTGCTAAATTAGTAGAAGAATGAAAATTAATTTATAGTTTACAGGTTATGCTAAGTAGCATATAATTCCAGAAGAAATGCATCAGAAATGTATTGCACCTTGTATGAAAACAAGAATATGGGAGAAAGAAATTTTTTGTGGTTCTGCAATATTAACTAATTTATTTTACTTTGTTTGACTGATGTGATTTTCCCCTCATTTGTGAAACTAAAGACACCCTGTCCACTTTTGCTGATATTACTAATTATTCCCTCTTATCACTCTCCTTATTCTTTTAATTTGCTTAAAGATGGTACTACCAGTAAAGCTGAGGGTAAGCTGTCTGTGTAACAGGTCTGTCTCCAACTTTACCAGGTTTCTGTTATCACCCAAGTGCTCCCTGGTTTTCATCCGTGTCTGCTGGTACTTCTTGCATGACTCTTGCATGGTGTTTTGACTCTTTCCTCATGTTGGAACTATTGTGTGCCCTTTATTGTCTCTTTCTCCTAACTCCTAAGCACAATTTAATTTAATTTATTCAATTTAGGCAACATCTGACTCCAGACTCTCTGGGCACTCACAGTATAACAAACAATAAAGTACAGTGAATAATAACAAACAAAACAAATTAAGAATAAGAATGACATAGAGCAAGAAAACAACATCATCAATTACACAATATGTCTCCCAACCCCAATAGGTTTATTAGACACACTTCAACAGTATGTAACTTTTAAGTCATTCATGAATGTCATTCACTGTACCATTAAATACAGAACAAGAAATTTAAATCTCACATATATTTTTATTCAGACTTAATTTATACCAGATACTGTAACAATGAGTGTTTATTTGGGGTGGAGAAACAAATACATTGGACTTTTTATTCCTATAGGAAAAGTACTCAGTGCAGAATGTTAAAAGATATTTAAATTCATTGGCCAGACTTTTTCCAATTCTCTTATAGGTTGTGCAGAAATAGTAACTTTTGTGATAAATAGGTGGCTTGTTTTCGTTATGGTTGATGCCTGTTGCTGCACTAAACTCTGGTTTTTCAAACTGAGATGTTATTCAGACTGAATTACTAATTTTATTTAGAAATTGGAAATAGAGTATACAGATTTATTCATGCACAGATTCATTCTCATCCCTCTCTAACCAGTTTCATTAGTATTATACTGCAGAGGTCCCCAACTCCTAGTCCACTGCCCGGTGCCGGGTCACAGCTGTTGAAAACGGTTGAAGTGGTGTGTGAGTGCATGCACATGCACGGAAAGCTGCATTTGTGAAAGTCGTGCACGTGCAAAATCATCCCCTCTCCCCCCCACTGCTGTCGCCTCTGCCAGTCCGCCAAGCCAGAAAAGTTGGGGACCTCTGCTGTACTGTATCATGCCTATTTACAGACATATGCATTCATTACATTACTCTTTTTTGCGGTAAGCAACGTTATGTTAAGTGCAGAAAAGCAGTTAGAAACAGTAAGCCAAGGAAATTAAGGCACGAGGTAAGAAAAATAAACATCTTGTTTACATTAAACATTACACTTCATCTTTATCATCTTTATTATCTATTCTTGTAAACCACATTTGTTCCATCATGTCCCTACACTAGTTAAATACCACATTTTGCTTTTTGAATTTCTTTCCTCTCTCTTTTGAGGATCTTACCAACTTTCTCAATCATTTATTTGTTTGCAATTTAATCTTTATTCTGCCTTCATCTCAATGTATTTTTCTGTATACTGATCACTCTCATTTCTAGTATATTCAGTCAATATCCAGTTAGCAACTGTTTATTCTTGATTCTACAGTAATGCTTATGCACCTTTTGGAATTTTCAATATTTCTATATAAATATGACCTAAAACATGATCTGTTCTCTTCACAAGTCCTAAAACTAAATAAAGAAAATCCAATTAAACAAATAAGTCAAAAAGAATACCCCTCCTGGAGTATTACATGCCATGCTCTTAGTGTCATCTTGATTAGTTAACTACTCTGGGGGTAGGGAAGAGAGACAATGATGTTGAATTGCCCCCATTTGTATTGCCTCCATTATCAGTTGTATTGCCCCCAGTTGTATTACCTCTATTACCTGATAGTGAACTGGTAGAGTCCAAACTTTTTGGAAATAGTTTTGTAACTTTTCCAACTATTGAACATCAACAACTCTTGTTGTTCAAGGGGAGCACCCCAGTTATTGAAGGCAAAGGTTCACATATTTTTGCCCCACAAAAATAAGTAGCTTTGAATTATTTTCTTCAATGAATAGGTATGATGTTTTTGACCATTTGTTTAATTCTCTTAATCAAGTTTTAGGACCTAATGTGGAGAACAAATCATCTTTAGGTCATATTTCAAAACGGTTCACAAGCACCACTGTAGGATCAAAAATTAACAGGTGCTTAATTTTCAGATCCATACTTGTTTCATTGTATAGTCCAACATTTACCACAGATCGATGGGGTTTTCAGCCAACAGCACAATATTGTCTCCATACAAACGCATATACACATTCATGTTTCCAACCAACACATCTCAGATGCCATCCTAAACATTATACAATTATATAGTAGAATTTGAAAACAAATTAACAATAAAGGAGGTATCACACATCTTTGTCTTAATATCTTTAGTATGGAAACATTCACCTAATATTCCTTTTGTTCTTATACGTGTTTTGCTTCTATTCTATTTCACGCTTACGACATTTAGAAATTAATCTTCTCTGTGTATTCATACAAACCATTCCATAATTCAGTGCTATTAATTACAGTAAATAAAAAAGGATGGCCTTGAAAGACAGGGCGATGATCTATTACAGTGGTTCTCAACCTGTGGGTCGGGACCCCATTTGGGGTCGAACGACCATTTCACGGGGGTCGCCAAACAACGCAATCTGCCATTTTTTCCCCCTTTTCCTTAGCTGTGCTACTCCCTTTTATTCTATTGGCTTTTGAAAGCCAATAGAATAGACTCTCTTGAGTAGAGTCTAATTCTATTGGCTTTCAAAAGCCAATAGGAATTGTCCAGGCTGTCTCTGCCCTGCTGAGCCTGCCAAAAGTCCCATTCTACAAACGGTGCTGCACCAGTTGAGTAGTCCTCGACTTAGGACCGGTTGAGTAGTCCTCGACTTACGACCGGTTGGGGTCGCGGCATTAAAAAGGTTGAGAACCACTGATCTATTACCAAGGCCAACAGTCAGGTAAATTAAATTTGAGCATAGGCTAAGAAAGTAGTTTATGAAAATGCATCAGACAGTCTTCCCACCCCTTTCCCAATTATCATGAAAATAAAAGGAGGAATCGTAGCATATTTAGATCTGCGACATTCGGTTACTATAGCTGTCCTAATAAAAGTAGTTTTACATTTGTATGGTATCTGTTTCTTAGTGTAGTTCACCTGATAGGGCTGGCATTAATTTTGTCTTCCAGTTGATAATTTCTTTTTATACATACTTTTTTTTACTTGTAAGCTGCCCAGAGTTTGTATGGAGTCAGGCAGCCTCAGAATTGGATAAATAATTAAAACTTTCTCTAAATCCATAAATCCACAGTCCCTCCCCCACCTTTTCCCAGTGATTTGCTAAAGAACAAAAATTTGATCTGCACAGCTTTGCTCAGCAATAAAGCCACACTGCACTTATCAAATTTTCTTTCTGTATATTATCAATCAGAATTATATTCAACACATTCTCTGGTGTTTTTAGTCTTGTTATGCTTCCCTTGAATAGAGAAGAATAAAGAAGTTGCACAGCCATTCCATAAGCCAAACATACCTACGTTTTAACATGTTTCCAGTTACACTGTCTTTCACCTGCAGCTTTACTGTTTTTCAACGTCATTGAATCATTTATTGTTTCTTTTTCATTGTTGTTTTTTTCTTGGACACAACATTTACAGTATTTATTTCACATATTACCATTCAGATCTCTAAAATACAGCTTCTGGAATTCCTTCCAGAATTGCTTTGGTTTTCTCTTAAATCCTTTAATGATTTTTAATACTGAATTCCATTCACGCTGGTGGAACTTTTCTTTTCACCTACTTCTAAAATAATGTTGTATTTCCATCAAAATTGCACTGTATTTTAACTACCTCCTTTAACCTTAACATTTCCTTGCTTCTTTGATAATTTTGCACCTAACTTTTTTTCTCTCTGTATGCATAATCTAATACCTTTCCTTCTACTCATGAATTTCACTGTAAATATCCAATTTAGTTGGTTTCTCATATCCTTTTTTTTTTTTTGGCAGCAGTCATTATCTTACAATCATCTTTTTCTCCTCCATGGCCTTTATTATTTCATCATTCAATTAAGCATGCTTTTTTATACTTCCCATTAGAGCAGTGTTTCTCAATCTTGGCAATTTTACGATGTGTGGACTTCAACTCCCAAAATTCTTCAGCTAGCAATGCTAGCTAGAGAATTCTGGGAGTTGAAGTCCACACATCGTAAAGTTGCCAAAGTTGAGAAACACTGCATTAGAGTAACTCCACATATTTCTATGTTACTCTGAATCTGTTCCAAGAAGTTTTTGCATTATCCTTATTTGCATTATTTTAATGTAAAATATTTTACATCATTCTTAATTATCTTGGGAGATATTGTATATATGTGTGTGTCTTCTAATACTTTCTTCATACAAATCTCATACTTCTTTTTCCTGCCATGGTTCTAGTTTCACATTAGTTTCTTTCATATATTTCATGTAAAGTTCTTCCCCGAGATTCATTTTAAACATTACTAAATAATAGTCTATCTCTCATGTATAACTGTCTTACACTTCTATATCTCACTTATTTTTCTGTGTTTCTTCATAAATAATCAAATTAGTTATGTTTCTTTATTCATTTCTGTGTTGTATGTACATACTAATAGAAATTTATTCTTAAACCATATATTACAAATAGTCCTTTTTCTAAGGAAATATTTGCCAAACAGTCACCATTCTGATTCATTCTTGGGTCTCCAACTAGCTATTCTCTTTTTCTGAATTATCTCATCTCATTCCCACCCTATTCAGTACAGGAGTCCTTGAGTTACAGCCACAATTGAGCCCAAAATTTATGTTGCTAAGTGAGACATTTGTTAAGTGAGTTTTGCTCCATTTTACAACCTTTCTTGCCACAGTTGTTAAGTGAATCACTGAAGTTGTTAAGTTAGTAACACAGTTGTTAAGTGAATCTGGCTTCCCCATTGATTTTCTTATCAGAAGGTTGCCAAAGGTGATCACATGATGTCAGGATATTGCAACTGTCATAACTATGAGTCAGTTGCCAAGCATTTTAATTTTGATCACATGACCATGGGGATGCTACAGTGGAATTGTGGAAAATGGTCATAAATCACCTTTTTCAGTGTCGTAATTTTGAACAATCACTAAACAAACTGTTATAAGTTGTCAACTACCTATATTTTTCCCTTAGATTGCATTCCTAAGGTTTCAGAGTTTTTAACAAAACTCATCCCTAATTCTTCCATGATTTGCATCTATTGGACATAATATGTAGCTGTACCCTTCCTATGGGTTTTTGCTTTTATACACCCCACCGCATCCCCCATCTGACCTCAGCAACAATTTTAGATGACACAATTTTATACATTCCAACATACAGTTAAATTTTTTTGATCATAAACTTATGCTTTTACTTTGAGGAATGTATTTATCAACCCCATTCCATAAGATAAGACCATCATTCAGATCTATTGCTTTTTTAGGTTTTTCTTAATTTCACATATACACAATTTATTATTTTTAATTACGCTTTTTTCATACTATTTAGTGTTAGACTTCATGTATAATCCAAACATAGTCTTCCACATCTCATAGTTATCACCAAAGGGGCCCACATGTTTTCCATATTGCCTATTAAGCTTTAGTCAATCAAGATTTTTACATAATAAAAATATAGACTTAGTTACCATCATTAATTGCACCCATACCACACACATCATTCACTACTAATGGTAATAACAATACAGGTTAGTTTGGGCATATTTTGATTATAGTTTGATTATAGTTTTAGACATGTAGTTGTGAATTTCACCATCCACGGCTTGGATGCAATATATTGAACATATATATGGGTACTATTATAAACCATTTTGGAATAAAACTGGTTATTTTACTCCACTCAGATTGATATTTGCAAATTATAAATAGATTCCTAAAACCTATTCTCAGAATCTGATCGTGCCTCTGGCTATAGTAACAAGAAGAAATCAAGAAGAATGATAGTGGAAAGGGACATGTGACTTCATATTCCTTTCCTAATTGGGAAATCTAGGTTCAAGTTGCATCCAAATGAAGGAACCTATCTACTGAAAGATATTAACTTTATTTATAGATTCAATATTTTTAAAAAGCTATTTGGACATTATTTAAGCAGTGCTGATTTCTAATTAATGGTTCGTGGTGTTGAGATTTTTTGAACTATATTTGCCATAATAAAATAGGCCAGTATGACATTGGAAATACTGCTGTGGAGATGAAGAAATGTGGGTGCTGACTAGTCTGAATAAGTAAATCTAGAGAGAATATTTGTGTTAGCATGCACATTATTTTAACCGAGAGTAACAGAGTTAGAGGCACATACCAGTATTAAACTGTACTGGATAAAGTATCATTGGATATTGTATTCTTTACTTCCTTATCCCTCTTTTCTATTAGATGAAAAGGCCATATCCAGTTTAGATAATAGTATGCATATAGAATCACTGTAATAAAAGCTTACTATAGATCAGTGATGGCGAACCTTTTAGAGACCGAGTGCCCAAACTGCAACCCAAAACCCACTTATGCATCATCGGGTGCCGGGTGGGTGTGGCCCATTGGGTGGGCGTGGCTGCGGTGGTAACAGCAGACTGGGACTAAAAAGTTCAATCAATCCCAACTTTGCAAGATCTTTTTTTTCCCGCAAGAATTTGAAATTGATTGAACCTTTTTTTTTGTACACGGCGGCGGAGGCCTAAAGCAAAAAGGTTTTATAAAACCCAGCTGAAGGCCTAGGACTGGGGCAACGGCCTGCATGCCCACAGAGAGGGCTCTGAGTGCCATAGGTTCGCCACCACTGCTATAGATCCTACGTAAAGTATTATAGTGCAGAATAATCTGGGGATGAGAAACTAAAAGAGACTGATATTTTTCCCTCACCCTGATCTTCCATAGGCCCATTCATAACTCAACCTTAACTTTATCCTTTTTTCATCTTTCCAAAGGACCATTTTACTAGCAGTTCAAGCACTCTCATCTACCTTTCATGTTTGGCTCTTAGTTAAAGCTATTTGACCCTGAAAGTACAAAATGAATGTTTCTGTTATGTTTTTTACTTGTTTAAAGTATTTGAATTCCGATTTTTAATAAATCTGAGGAGTGTCTCAGAAATTTGACAATAAATAAATACTTTGCATGATCAAACTGCACAATATTTTTGCTTGCATCCAACTCTGTACAAAGGATAGTGGTTGCTAGAGAGGCCTTTTGGATAAACAGACCAACTAATGGCATTATTTTAATGATAATAATTGAAGTTGCTTTTTTGACTCTGAAGGGGAAAGTAGGCCTGTATGTTTTATTGTTCTTCATGTATCCTTTCCTAAACCAATTTACATCATTAATATGGTATCATTTACAGCACCAACTCCAAACTGTTTTAGACAGATAATTGTCAGAGTACTAAAAAAAAGTATAAATGTAATGGGGAAAGTCTTCCTAGAAATTTCTTAATTTATGTGGCACTCCCTGAAAGAAGACAAGACTTCAGTTAATTAAATAACTGTACTGTATTGATATTTTTAATTGGCTTGTTATATATTCATGATTAAATTGAATTGGATAGTATCCTGCATAAAAGTAATGTCCTATTTATTGTGGAATAGATCTAATTGTGTGGCTAAGCTCCATGTGGTTTTAAGTAATAGCAAAAATTTGAACATTCAAAAGGATTCACGAATTTAAGCACCACTGTATTTTCTGATAGTGATGGCCAATAAAAGGCTTTAGGAACCTTTTTCTAAAAACAAAGGAAACTATGTCATAATCTGATCATAATAACCTGGTAGTTGCATGATAGGTATCAATATGAAATGGCCTTATGCAGATTGAAATGTATACACATTGGTCTTTCTCGATGTTAGCTGGAACTCTGACTAGTCTCTGTATACATAAGACCTCTTTATTATGATACCCCCAAAAATGATTACTGGGAAACTTTGTGGAAGCACCAGAGAGAATCCATATAAATTCTCATAAATAATAATATGTGATCTGCAGGGAAAGGAAGCTCTTTTTCTCGTCAGTAAAATAAGAGTCATGTTGCTTAATCCTATTTAATATTAATTTGAAGATACTGCCATTCATTTCTTCTTAACATATGTTCCTATGGTTCTTTCCTTTTTACATTCACACCTATTTCTATCTCTTTAATCCCAACTTTGTCTGCTGGTTTTGTATTTGCCTTGATAACTTATAAGCATCATGCAAGTTACAGGAGTATAGTCTTTTTTCCTTTTCCTGTTAGTTCTGGTGGAAATTGGTGTTTATTTGCAGTATGCTGTAAAAATAAAGATATTTTATTATATAATTCTTTCCTGGTGTTGAGTCTGGAGTTCTGAATGCATTAAAAAGATAAATAATTTGTAAGGTTGAGCATGATTGTAAACTGGTTTGGAAAACATTCTTTAGAAGTCATATGAACAGAGTGTCTCTCTGCTATTCATTAAGGCAGCCACATCTTTTTTTATATTTGTTCAAAAGTCTGAATAAGATATGAGTGCTTTAATGAGCTTGTACAAATTCGTGTCTACTTCTTCAGAATCATTTTAGAACCATGCCCAGCTTTAGTGTTTGGTATTTTTTCCACTAAGTAGATAGCTTCCATTCTAGATAATGTATACCAATGAGAAAATAACATCAGCTTCCTAATTTGGGGGAATCCAGTTTCAGTCTCTTCTTACAATTTTCTCATTTTAGTCAAATTGCAGAACTATTAAGTGAGGTGTGAGTGAAAGAAAATTAACCACAATCTCTTTAAAGTTTATCTGTCACTTTTCTGTTCTCCCCCCCCCCCAGGTCGAATTCGCACAAGGAGACAAAGCTCTGGAAGCACCAGTAGTATCACCTCAACACCTGCTGACACTCGAGGTCGCAGTCGAGCTAAAGTAGTTTCGCAGTCCCAGCGTAAGGAACCATTTAGTGTGCTATTATGAAGGAGACACTATATTTTTCAAGTTTGTTTTTCTTGCCAACCTTATTTTAATATGCATCAGCGTTTCCATTATGAGTATTCTTCAAATGCAGTTTTTAAAAATTATTTCCTATAATTAGGTCCTGACAAATTAGGCATAACACAACAGTTTTTTTTTAAAAAAAAAAATACAACTGGGGCTTAACTCTTCAGGATTCTCATTGCTCTAAGCAAGCCTATGAACTACTCATTTATTTTCCCAAACAGCAACTTTTTCACATTCTCTTACATTATAAGCACCTCTTTGCTTTTTACCTTTTGTTCCTTTAAGAAAGGAAGCAGTGTAGCAAAAGATTGCTATGCTTGGTACGGATGGCTTTCTTGTTAGAACTGATGAACTTGTTTTCTCAATCCCCAAATGTGATGTGCTGTAGTCCACAAACTGACATTCAAAATTTTTAGCATTATTGATTGCTCTGCATATGTGCCTACTTGCTAATGAGTAATATTTTCTGATGCTTATTTTATCTTTAAAAAATTGAAGTAATAAATCATAGCCAGAAACAAGAACTGTTTAGTAGATGGAATGTTAGATTTAAGGTGACTGAAGATTTTTTTGGGGGGTGGGGGTTACTAACCTCTATACTAACTGGTCATTCTGCATTATAAGCACTACCCTTGTATCTTTGTCTTGTTTTGTCTTGTTTTTCTGTGATATCATTGCCTATTTTGCAACCCTGCATTGTTGGGATTGCTATTCCCAGGACAGTAATGCTATTTGTTTGTCCCACACCCCACCAGCCTCATGGATATCAAGCATAAAACTAGAATTACAGTTTATTCTACTCTAAATAGTTATTTACTGCTTTGCACAAATGTTTTCATGAAACGTTTTGCCACATACTAATCCATAATAAAATGTGAGCAGCGATGTGCTTGTCAAAAAGAAGTTTGTATGCAAATAACAATGCTTCTTGAACTCTGTATTGTCTCGCTTTCTCTGCTTCACTTTCTGCCTGTCCTTTCGTCTGCTGTCATAATCCAGGATCCAGATCAGCTAACCCTGCAGGTGGTAAGAAATACCTTTTGTTTTTCACTCTTTTACATGTCTGTACTGCCTCTCATACTACTGTTTTTAACTGATTCAATGTCTGAAAGTATTGTAGTCCTAGAGGCTTAAAAAAAAGTAGTGTTTTTAAAATGAAAGTTCAGCCATCCATATGATGTACTTAGACAAAGTACCCATGTGTAAGTTCAGTGAGCAATGGGACTAATTCCTAGGTAACAGGGTGTTAGGACTGTAAATTTTAAGAACTGAAAAAGGATTTGAAGATGTCTTCAATTGTTTATGGAGATGTTGTATGTTAACAGCAGAAGGGACAAGCCTGACATGCTATTTTTGAAACTAGACAATTTCAAAGATAGTTTCTTACAACACAAATTGTCTTGTGACAAAAGGAAAAATTCCGCTGGGTGATTTCACTTTCATTTGCATAATTTCTTGGATATGAATGCCTATTTTTTGGCAATTACTCAGTCAGTTTTGTGGTTGGAAGATAAAATAAAATTTCAGAAAGTTTCCTTGCAAAATGCGTGAGAAAAAAATAAATAACGGGACAAAGAAATTGTGTGTATGCGCACGGATGTGAGGGAGAGTGCCCATGCAAATGAGTTCATTGGTTGCTTCTGTATAAAATATAGCTTGCTGGTATGGCTGATGATATTTGATCATTTTAAAGGTGAGTAGTATCATTCAAGGTTGTGATTGTATTCATTCATCACTCTCAACACTTTTTATTGTTAATCTATGTTGTTAACCCCCATTTTTGAACATATAATCATTTTGAATAATTTATGTATCCTGTTTTATTTTTAATTTACTATTAATTGAGCTGATTTTTTTTAAATACATTTGGTAAATTTAATGATTTGAAATATTCTGAAGACTTAAGAGCATTTGCTTGTTGTTGTTTTGTAGCTGGTAGTCGATCTAGCTCTCCTGGCAAACTGTTGGGAAGTACATATGGTGGGCTTAGCAGTGGAACAACCAGAGGACACCCAGTGCCAACATCATCCTCATCTACTGACAAACGTAGTAAAGTCCCCCGAAGCCAGGGCTGCAGCCGAGAGACCAGCCCTAGCAGGATAGCTCTAGGTAAGAGTTTTCTTGGCTGCAATATAGAGCCAAAAGATTGATTTCCTTTCTCATGCTGATTGGCCAAAGTAATTCTTGAAATAAATTACAGTTTTGCTATAATGATTTCATAGTTACGGTATTCTGCTGAGTTTGTCAATAGCATGCTAGGCAAAGAGAGCAGCAGGGCCTAGATAAAGTTGCCAATGGGATTAGCATAAATTGCCTATGTTTATACTTATTGTTTCAATTAGAAAATAGTTCTTCCTTCAGATGTGTTTTATTTTCATTTTCACTTGGCACGGTTCAGTGCCATTTGATGATATCAAATGTATTGTCCTACAGCTATAATACAGATTTCTCCTTTACCCTCCCTTTGAATGTTAGAGTTACTGCTCTGTTGTTGTTTTCTCTGATCAAAAATTGCACCTATTACTTTTAGGTTAAATACTAAATTTTATCTGAAGCGTTTTTTTTCTAATGAACTTATTAGTACTACTGTAGATGGATGACTGAACTGTTCTATCATCAGATATATTAATTATGCACAAATGCCCAACTACACATTATTAATATAAAATGGTAGTCATGGCAAATCTTATTTTAGAGGTTGAAATTAGGAAATGCAGTTGCGATGTACCAATTCAGATTTGGAACTGGGGCCTTCCGATGAGCAAACAAGATACACTTAAATATAATCACTTTAAAATCTGTTCACTCAGTTTCAGCAACAAAAAAGGTGAAAAGGCATGCAAAAGAAGAGGAATGTGACAAGGGATTTGAAGCTTGCATCAGAGAAGGAAAATGAGAATAATATCACCGACATTTATATTAATAGACAGGCAGAATGCATGGAGGAGAAAATAAGAGATAAATCATATATATGCTTCAGAAAATGATCAATGAACTTAGCACCAAATTGTGGCCAGTGAGGTCATTAACCACTTTGTGGTTTTTAAAGAGTTTTCAATCTTTGTGGTACAACACCCCCTTAATAGTAATTTTATATGATCCCAACTCTGTGAATAATTATTTCACCAGGTTTAACACAATGGCAAGAAATAAATATATGGTTTATTTTTAGTTACTAAGTTTGGTCTAAATAGAACAAAAGATCTCAAATGAAACCTCAACTAGACAGGCTTCTGCAGGCAAAGTGGGAGCAGAGCATAGATTTAGTTTTGAGGATGCAAAGCTGGTTTACAAAAGCAAATCAAGAAGCAATGACAATTCTCCTGTTTTGCCTGCCCTGTCAAAACCTACTTCCATTTTGTCTGGACAAGCCCATAACTGGCAAGGAGGAAAGCCCAAAATAAGTTTTGATGGTGCTTCCATTTTGTTGGGGCCAGTCTGATTTAGGTCTTTTTTTTTTAATATTGAATACCCTCTAAGTTTCTTAACAGTACTCCAGGACATAATGATTGACTCAAGAAAACTGTATTTTCAGTGAACCAGAAGATCTATAATTAACATGTGACTCTGAAACATGTTGTGTGGGGCTTTATTTTTTATTTTTTTTGAGCTAAGCATTTTTATGTGGAAAGAAAAAAAATACTTGCAACAGAAAGTATATATATTTAAATACAGACAGGGTTTTTCTTTCTTCTGATTAGTATGGGCGCAGAGCTTATTGGCCAGGTTAAGTACTTATTTAAAGGACTTTTTAAAAAAAAAATATAAGCAGTTGTACCACACAAATGAAAATAAATATATACTGTTCCATAGACCATCTTTTCTAAAATTATTTTGATTTACATTTATATTTACTTGCAATAGTTAACCTAGAGCAGGGGTGTCAAACTCTCAATGTCATGTGATGTGTCGCTACATATTGCGACTTTTTTGCCATTGCCGGCAATGGGGTGGGCATAGTTTCTCTATGATGCATTTGGCCTGTGGGCCAGCAATTTGACACCCCTGACCTAGAGCAATCTCTAGGAGAGACACTTCTGCTTTTGTGCTGCTGCTGTTTTCTGTGCATAATTCATGAATGTGTGTTCCTTTGTAACATAGATCAGCATTGTGAACAAGCAGCTTTTTCCCCCCTCTATACATGTGATCAAGTACTATCAAGTAACAAAGGATAGCTTATGGTGGTCCTTGAAGTTGGAAAATGATCTCTTGCTTCCAGGGGGATCAAAACTATGAACCAAAATGAAAACGTTAACTTGGAACTGTTTTACTAACTTGGTTGGTTTGGTAGCAGTAAAGCAGGACCTCAGATACCTGCATGAAGAGAGAAACAAAGCAGGAACAAACAAGCTATATACGCCAAGCATGTTGCCTTTTTACAGTTAGCCAAAATAAACCTGGAACCCTATGTGGAAACATTTATTTATTTATTATAATAATGTATATGTGGTCTACTCATCAAACACTGGCAGCTCATGATATTAAAACCCTAAGGCATGGAGGTTAAAAAAAAGTATACAAGAAATCACTAGTAAAGGACAAAAGCTTTGAGAGGAAATTGGCTGAAAAATAACAGGGGACATTATACCAGGAAAAAAAATAGTTTGTCCATGGTTTCCAAGTTTACAGTTAGGACCTTTCTTCCAGCCACATGGGGAACAGTACGCCTGGTCACCACGAGGTGGAATGTTAGCAATGCCTCTCCTACCCTGCCTTGGAATCAAAGCAAGTAAGCTAGTTGTAGATTTTCAATAGACACATGCCTCAGTTCTTACCCAGCCAAATCTCAGTGATATGCTGATTGCCACCAACAGGTCATGGAGGAGCACATAGACCAGGGGTGTCAAACTGCCGGCCTGTAGGCCGGATGTGTCAAGCCAAAACTGCACCCACCTCATTGCCAGCAATGGGAAAAAAGTCATGATACGTCGCGTGACGTCGTGAGTTTGACACCCGTGACATAGACCATTGAATAATGTGGCCTGATTAAAACATTTTCTACTCCACACTCACAGACTTACTCTTTCCCAGGCACAAACAGATAGGACTTTGTGTATTTCTTACTTTATTTCTACTTACAGCAGTGTATGACAAATACAAGTTCCATCTCTGTTAGAGCGCTAAGAAATTAATTATACAGTTAATAGATTTTTTTATTTGTCGAAATAATTAATGGGATAGATTTATAAAAGTGCATTAAACAACAGTTTATACACTTTCCAGGCCATATTTCTTATTCTTTATGAAAAGCTTCATACCACAGTGTATAATTGCTTTCAGGCAGGAACACGAATGCACACTAGGAGTAGTCATCATTATTTCAAAACAAGTGCTGCCTGAAAGATTATTTCTCTTTTCCAGGGTTATGACCTTTTAAAATGCCATTCTTTTAATTTTTAATAGTTATGTATTTGCCATCATTATAGCCTATTGAACAAATCCTGAGTGGATTCATGCCTTGAGGAGTTTGCAGTCTAAATTTTTTGTCAGTGGGCAGGAGAAATATAGAAAGGAATAGGAGAGCCAGAAAACCCAAATGGGAATAAAAGTTGTTAAAAAAAAACTCCTCTATATATGTGCTTATATGGATTAGTAATTTTTATGGGAAAATTCAACATGTATTTTTAAAACGTTGACTTCCTGAACCTGGTTTTTTTTACTATCTTTCTTAGAAAGAGAACATCTAAGGGTAGACTCAATTATGGCTGAGATAGAGAAGAAGGAGAATTTAAAACAGTCATAATAACACTATGAACCAAAGAGGAATATAAAATAAGTTGAATACAAATAGTATGTTCGTTTTGACATTTTGCATGATTAAATATCCTTTATTTTTTCCTTTGTCATCGATTATTATGACGAATCTGCATAAAAATTATATAAATATGTTATTTCTTTAGGTTTGTATTGCTCATTCCCTATTAGAATCATTTACTTATCCCTCTAAAATAGAGTTGACCTTTCTTTCCTGATATTTTCTCTCTCCTCCTTCCCTCCCCCCCCCTTAAGTGGAATCTAAGTCAATCTGAAACTATTATAACCCTGTTTTCCCAAATAGGTTTTTCTGGCTTGTGATAAATAGAACAAGGTTCTCAGGAGGGTCAGAACATCTCAGATGTTCTTGGGCAAGTTCAGCATGTTCACAGTTTATACGTAACAAATCAGATTGGCAGTTGTCTGGGATATTACTAATGTCAGTAATGACCAAAACTGTAAATTTATTGTCTCAGCGTTGTATCCTCGTTAAACTTGTGTTCACCTTCTCTGAAACTCTCCATGCTGCATGCTAGCACGGAGCAGCCGTATCCCCCGACCCAGCGTGAGTCAGGGGTGCAGCCGCGATACCAGCCGTGAGAGCAGCCGAGATACAAGCCCTGCTCGGGGCTTTCCTCCACTTGGTGAGTACCTGTAGGCACTAGAGCTTCTAAGGGCCACCCCTCCTCTTTCTTGCTAGTTCGTCGATATACCTCTGAGTGGAATGGGCTTGTTATTCTCTTCTTTTTTAAAACTCTTTTAACATTCCTCCTTTCTGACCTTATTTATTCTGTTCATTTCTGCATGCTTAAATCCTGCTTTCCTTTACTAGGAAAACCCATAGTTTGAAATGCTTTTGACAATATCTAAATTTTTGGGACATGCACTTAGGCGCCATTGGTCTTGACAAAAGCAGCTATTGTAAAGGCTACATCATTCCAGGGAAAGTTGATGCTACTAGAAAGCATGACCTGCCTTTTTTGATCCAGTGCAAAATGGGGGTCCTTTGGAGAAAATTTAGTAAATGTCTTCATAATATACTTTTTATTATTTTGCATTGTATTCTTGGGCCTGAGTGCATGCCATATCAAGGATAACGTTTTCCAAGCCCCAGGTACACTGAGAATTCCTTTTCTGTATAAAAAGCTTGTTCCTTAATTCATAGAGCTCAGTGTTTATTTCTGCTCTTGAGAAATTTACCATCTCTCTTGGTTTTTAAATTATGATCCAGCCAGTGTAATTTACAGAGACCTATCTTTTCACATCAGAAACACGAAGTCTCGTTTCTTTGTATATAATGTTTTTTTTCTGCATTATTATTAAAATAATTGTATATTTTTAGGAAAATATTTTTACAGTTAGGGCAATCTGAAATCTTGAAAATTGTGTGTTTGTGTGTGATGTGTGTGCGTGCATGCACACATTTGTGTGTTTCTGACTGCTTCAGTTCAATTATATTTCTAGTTTGTCCACATATTTAGAGAGTGTACTTGAAATCGAGGAAAGAAGGCGGTACAGATATAGAACTTATCCTACTGTCCATGAGGTTCACAGGGCCTACTTTTAACATTAATTAGTTACATTTATTCACCATCCATCTTGGTGTTCTGTGACTCTGGGCAGTTTACAATAAAATTATATTATAAAAGATTAAAACATGATAAATACATTATAATGAACAAGGAAATAGCTAAGATAATGGGGGTAGGGGGGTGGGGTTGTACCCAGTAACTCCCACCAGGATGACATGCTCCTCTCTGGACCCCAGGCCAATTGGCAGAGCCAGGTTTTAAGGCCATTATAGAATATTACTGTTGAAATAATTCTGTGAAAAGAATTAAGAGTTGCAAGATGGAGAAGTTACAGCAGAAGGGAAAAGCGCTATGAGGCTTCTGAGTGATTATTTATTTCTTTGTTTTTCCATTTTTCCTGTTAGAAAGCTAGAGTCCCAGTAATGTCCCATATAGGAATCGCTTGTGGTATGCACATATTTTAGCCAAGAGGACCAGACAGAACAAAATGGACAAAATAAAATTACTGAACTTTAATTCTGCTTAGTGGGGCACAATGGCTCAGAACTTAAAGATGCTGAGCTTGTCAGCTAGAAAGCAGACAGCCTTCATTCAAGACTTTGAGCGCTGAGTGCCGTGGTGAGCTCCTGTTACTTGCTCCAGCTCCTGCCCACCTTGCAGTGCGAAAGCATGCAAATGTGAGTAGATAAATAGGTACTGCTTTGGTGGGAAGGTAACAGTGTTCTGTGCGCCTTGGCATATAGTCATGCTGGCCACATGACCACACAAATATTTTCGGACAATTCTGGCTCCCTTGGCTAAGAAATGGACATGAGCACTGCCCCCTAGAGTGAGACAAGACTGGAAAGGGGAAAACCTTTAGTAATTCTGCATATGGATAAAAAGCAATACTATTTAACAATAGACATTATTAATTTATAAATAGGTTAATCTAATTCGCCCACCGGTGGCTGTTAAATTTACAAAGCAACAAAATGCATACTTGGGAGGGGGTTTTGTGTTGTTGTTTTTTTGTTTGTTTTGTTTTTTGCCAAAGTCATAGATGGGCCGTTTGTAGGATCAAGCCTGGACATTAATGTTTTAATGGGATAGGAAGTGTGTGAATTGTTTTACTTGTGAATGGATTAGGATTTTTTGGCATTTGGCATTTTCTACACACACATATGTACATACAAAACACATTTTATTTAACTGAATTATGTGTATTTTGGGATTCAGTTATATTTTTCTTGTGTTTCTTACCTGAAAATAGATGGAGATAATTCTAGATGCTGCAAGGAAGGTGATTTGGGTCTGCATCCAAGGCAACAATTTCAATGTAAATAAATAAATAAAAATTATAAAAACTTGAGTTAACTAAGGGCCACAGAGGATCATTTTAAAATCCATTACAGAATGCAAAGGAATCTGTCACTTTTCCTTGCTGCTATAAAAAGGATAAAAGCTTCTTCCTTTGATCTAATAGAATAGTTTGTATCATAAACATTTGCATAGAGCAAAGGGCTGCTATTGTGAGCCAGAAACCAAAGTCGGAATGAAGAACCTATGCCCAGCTATAATACATTTCACCTTTCAGCATGATTACTACAATTACTAAAAGATACAGTTCAAGAACATCTTGAGATACAGGTCCCCATTTCTTTTTTACAGACATTTTAAGCCTACTTGATTTATTGAAGGCATTAATTTTAATGTTTTAAGTCATCCTAAAAATGTGTGATGCCATTAATGTAATACTTGGCTGAGGTTTCAGCTTTAGTATTGTATTTATGATTAAATAATAATAAATAATTTTTACTTATATTTCATTCCTTTGGCTAAATTTTATGAATTAGATCTAGCTCATAATATCTGAACAATTTGCTTAACAAAGGTGCCAAAAGTCTTCCTGATTGTACTAGAGTATAAATCCAAGAAACAAAGAAAATCTGTAATATAATTGCTTCAGGACACTTAAAATTGTAAATGTTGTAGTCCTTGGGGGGGGGGGAATCCAGATTTTAGGAAGACTTTAAATTTGGTTTCAATATAGACGCACTCTATTATTGAATTACCAAGAAATATGTAAGAATATTTACAAATTTCCCTGGATATTTAAATATCTTGGATATTTTTAATGTTTCCTGTCATGTCAGAAAATATGTACTGAACAATGTTAGTTACAGCTCCAGCTCTGACCAAATTACCACCTAAGGGAAACCAGCAGTTCATTTTGTTTCCCATCCCGCCCAGGTTTAATAGCTTATTATTACAAATAATTAAGCACATATTAATCAAAACTACTAATATTAATAGAAAGTGATTCACAAAATATTATTTTAATAACTGTCAATAACTTCTCAGAATCCACTGCTAACTTACATTGTTCCAGCTTCACTGTCATTAGCTAACATTTTATTATATAGTTCAATACATTGTTGATTGTTTTATTTTTAAACAATTTCTAAATCCTTTTGTTTTTAACTCTGGATGGTTCCATGCAAATTGTGGCCATGCAACTCTGGTAGTCTGCAAATTCTATTGAGGCAATTTCTAAATGCTTTAGTTAACAGTAACTGCACTAATCCCAGCATCTAATTTGCTATCTTGATAATTGAGATAAAGACTGCTACGAGCAAAGTCATCTAAGCCCATTAGACTGGTTTATATAGACCAGCACCAGTTCAAAAATTTTTAAATCATTTCTTTATTTTTTTAGAAAGAAAGAAAAAAAACAAATTATAGTGAGGGTAAACCAAATCAAAGCATATGCATTCTGCATCCTGGGATAGCAGAGCTATGGTTGCTGAAATAATACTGTTGATCTAGAAAAAAAAACCTGCATTAAATAATTCCTTTAAAATACTAGCAATTCTAAGGTGATTTGTAGGAAACAAAATTTTGAAAACCATGAGTCTGTTGAATAAAGAGATGGTTCAAAAATAATGGAGCTGAAACACAACTTCTCATCCCTCAGTTGCCTCTTCAGGCTTTTTTGCTGACGCTTTTTGATTAGCAAGGTTTATTCATTTTGCTTCTCTTTGCATGTGTATGTATTGATTGGCTGTGCCCAATACACCCAAAGAAAACCATAGAGTATAGAAAGATCTACATTGCATAGGTGTTTGAATACCTTTCCAGGCTTTCAGCATGATTTGCTTGTCTTTAACCTGCAAATGTGACAATCTGTTTGACTTCAAGAATGCAATTGAGTCATTTTATAGGAGCAATTTGTGCTTAATATCTTAAGTTCATTAGAAATATTTTCTTTATAGTTCTTTTGTTCAGTCCCAGAATTAAAATAACATTCTAAATGCAATTATAGTATGCATCTCATGTTGTTTCTTGTAGGACAAGTTATTTCTTTTTTTCCTTAATTATATGCTACATTCTGTTAATATAGTAATTGTACAGATTGAGCTATTTTATTCTCTAGCAACATTGTAGAAACCTATTCGAGCAAATAGTAATTTCCAAGCTCTTATATCTAGTTTAACCTTGGAATTATTCACATTGGCTATTCCACACTGCATATAATTTTGTTTATTTAAAGACATATATCAATATAAATTCTGATTTTAGTTAAGTTTTGGTGGGATTTTAAAGTCCCATATACCAGAAATATTTTCAGTTTAGAGCTATTAACATTGTGAATGTGGTTAAAATAACTGTTGCTATTACACCTTTTCTTCTCAGGTATTCAGTTCTATCCATCCACAAAGCTGGTTGGTTGCAGGCCATTCTGTAACCTAATTAGTACTATTTCAGCTATCCCATTTTATTAATTTTGCCTATTAGTCAAAATACACACATCCAGTATTGTATCTGAGTTTGTACATGGGCGATGCTGTGTGGATTTGGGAGTCCTATTAGATTAGACTCTGGGAAAGAATAAGTTTTGCATGAAGAAAGTCCAAAGGACCAATTTCTGATGTACAGATAATAGTTCCAGATAGGAACTTTTAAAAGAGATTTTCTTTTTGTGAACTATGGGACAGCCATTGACTGTTAGACTGAATACAGTTTGGAAGATGGATCAATGAACTGAGTCTACATAAAATAACTTTGCAATCAAATTAATAAGAACTTGAATAATAAATACTTTGCATGTCCTAAGTATAATTCGTATTGTCACTATGTTAAACGAAGGTTACTTCCGGTTGTCTGTTGCTTTTCTGCACTAATTTACTTTGTCCCTGATTTAAAATTGTCTTTTTATTGATTATGGGATTTTACATCTTTGAATGGAAAAAACTTAACTTTTATAATTGCAAGCACACTTTCTAAGGATTCATTGTAGTCTCACCTTAGGATTTGGATTGTTTACATCTAAATCCTATTGCTGCTGAGTTAGTCATTTCATGTTATCATGGTGATTCACCTGTATTCGACAGGTGATTATTGTTATCGATCTCTGCTGGACTTCATACAAGCTGGAAGGCTTAGAGGTTATTCCTTTCGTTTTCCATATATCATATGTTCCATAGTTGAGGGTGGAGGGAGCGTATGCAAGAAACGCTATGTCAGACCTACCATGGGGCTTGCAATTGATTTTCAAGTCCATTCATACACAGTGCCATTTCTTTTCCCTTTGTAATCCCAGTGTTGGTAGTGAATCATGTGCATCTCCTTTGGATTGTGGCATTGTTTTTGTCTGAAGTACTTGTGTGTTAATTCTGTGGGTGTTGCCATTCCTTTTACTTGCAGCCTCTCGACGTCATTCCAGATCCACTAGTGCTCTCTCCACTGCTGATTCTGTTGGGCAGTCAGGTGAACAAGTGCTAACTGCATGAATCTGCTTCTTAATATTGTCTCTTTTTATTGCCTTTGTAACATTTGCTCTCACAAATGTCATTCAGCACTTAGCATGTGGGATCATCATGAGATTATTATTATTTAACACGCTTTTGTCATTTTCTATTTTGAATGTTTTTATTTTTGCTCATTTTTATTCTTTTGCTTAATGTTATTTCTGGAAATCAAACAATATTACAGCAGCTTATAGAATATTGTCATATACTTCCTATGTACCTCTTAGGAAGTACTAAGGAAGGACACTGTAACTTCCTCCTCTTTATATCTATGAAAAGCAGCTATAGCAATTGTTCATTAGTGAGTAATATTTCTAACAGCTAGCAAATGTGACAGCTAGCAAATGAGATTAATGCAACTAAGGAAGAGAGTCAGATTCAGCTATAGCTTTGAGTTTTTAAAACTGTATTGATTAGGATCATGCATAATGCTAAATCAGAATCTATGCATGAGCAAAGAGACCCTGTATGGATAACCAGAACACAAATATTTCCCTTTTTTCATAAAAGTGATTGGGAGACGAAATAAGCCACAACCTCATTTTACTTTACACAAACATTTCCTGGCCTCAGATATTCCAGATGTTTTAGCTATAGTTCTCACCATTCTAAACCATCATAGCCACTCAACATGCTTGGGCTCATTAATCAAAAATCTGGACAATAACAATTGGAGAACACTGCATTAGCTAGTCCTTGCCATGATTCGGGGAACGGACATCCAAGTCTGAGGCTTTACCAAGGATCTTTGCTGCTAGTTCGTGTAGTGCTACAGGAACACAGTCATCAAAATGGCAAAACTTTGCCCATCAACCCAACATTTATAATTCTGAGACATAAATAAAACAGTAGAATTTCAATTTAATGGGCAGGCTGCTTAGGTCTCTTTTGAAAACTATGCTGCTGCTTTGATGACAGGAAATTATATAAAAATTAGATTTGAAAAGAAAGTCATTATGATGTTATCTGGGATTTGGAATATATAAATATTGAAAGAAAGAAAAAACTCTAGAAACAGCATCTACCTCTGTTTAATACAAGTTTTAAATACTGATAATGTAAACCAGAAGAGACCATTTATTTATGTATTCCTATCATGTAAATTCCAGATTTAAATCTGAAACTTTGCTCTATTTACCTAATAGTTTTGACTTTATGTGGACCACAGAAATAAGCTCCATAATGTTCCTTGTTTTCTTTATATTGATTTAAGTTATAAGGTCCCATTGAATGAAAAAGAAGCTTTCTTGAAATATTTTTAACATCAAAACTTCATATTTAGAATATTTACAAAAGTTCCCTTTGCTGTAAGAGATTCTTGTTCTTTAACTTAAGTGAGGCCCAATCATGTATGTGACTTCCATCCAAGCTAGTTTATAACAAAAGTCCTTGTGTATCACAGATTAAAGGCCATTGCCAAGACTTTGATGGGTTAATTCCAGTTTACTCAGCCCTCCCCATCACTACTCACATACTGGCCAGTTACCCATGAAACAATTGCTCTTTCTTTTTTCCCACACTCCCCCCCCTTCTTTTCTGCTGACCCTGTCTCTCCACTTCTTGAATGCATGGCTTGTTGGTAATAAGGCTTATTATTCCAAAAATACAGCCTGCTACAAACATGTGCTGTATTAAGCTTGGCCAACACTGATAAAACATGTAATTTAAGGATGTAAATCTAGTATGCTAATTGTTACATATAACCATTTAATAGCATTTAATATTCAGGTTTGGAAGTAAGCATTTTGAGTCAAAAGTTTCTTTAAATTTACATTGCTTTATGTTTGAACCAGACCTCAATATAATACATCTTTGTAACATATTAAAATGCTTCTCCCAATTAAACTTTATAATATTACTCCTCAATATTATTTCTTAACTGAGTTCCATCCAGATGTGCTAGAACAGGGGTCTCCAACCCCCGGTCCGGTCCACAGCTTGCCAACAAGCGGACTGCACAAACAAGCAAAGCTCCATCCTTGGGATGCAGGCAGTATTCAAAACCACACCTCCTCTTGTCTGCAGAAAAACCTTTCTCCATGGCACCGGTCCCTGGTGCCCAAAAAGTTGGGGACCTCTATGCTAGAATACAATTTCTGTCTTCCCCGCCCAGTCTGGCTATTCATCATGATAGCTAGGAGAGAATGAATGATGCAAACCACGATACTTGGAAGACAGGAGGTTTGGAAAAGCCACTTTATATGCTACTGATATTCATTAGTACAGTCTGAATTAATCTTGGAATAATATTTCTTTCCATGGAGTTAATTAATGACCTTTAATACCATTTCATAATCTTCTCCTAAAATAGTTCCTTCAGTGTTAGATGTTATTAACAAAATTGAAATAAAATGACATAGCATCACCAATCTTTCTGTGTAACGGAGGTGCCCATGAAAAGATTTGAAAATTTTCTATTGAGATTTTGGAAGCTATCACCAACATTCAAGCCCCTGCCTTAGTACCTGAATAGAATACAAGTAGTCTTCATTTAATGACACCAGTTGGGACTGGAATTTCCATCGTTAAGCAAAATGGTCATTAAGCAAAACATCACATGACTGCACCGCTTAGCAACAGCAGTTCTGGTAGTCCTGGTGGTGATCATTAGGCAAGGACCTCATGCTTCTGCCTTATTGTGCTTGTCTCCACTTCAACTCCCCCTCACTGTCTCTCTGCCCATGTCTTCCCTTTTGGCCACCCTAATTCCACTGCCTTCCCCCCCCCCCCCAGCTGATCTTCCTTTCACTGCTAATGAGGAACACCTAGTTGAGGCATCTGCTGGCGCTTTGTGAGGCATTCAAGTACTGCATGGAGCCTTCGGGAAGCATTACCAAAGACGTACGAAGGCCAGCAGCTGTCTCAGCCAGGCATGCCTTGTCAACAATGGGAGGAGAAGACAGTGATGGTCAGCAGGAGGCAGCAGCAGTGGAGTTCAGGATGGCTAAAAGGGCAGAGATAGGGGAAAATAGGTGGGATGGGGATTTGAAGTATAGATTACAGTTGCAAAGTGCCTGGATTTTGATCATGTGACAGGGCCACTGCAAGTCTATAACTTTGATTCCTTCAATACCATCGTAATTTCAAATGTTTACTGAACGAATGAATGGTCATTAAGCAAGGACTACCTGTATGCTATTCTCTGTCAGTGTAGTAGTTTTAGAGTCTTCTGGGATTTATTGAGAATTTCTGCTCCTGCGCCTGAGGTAAATTTCCATTATCTGACAGTGTTATGATCTAGACAGGCACTAAAAAATACAGAATATAATCCAGTAAGAAGTTCATTTCTTCATCATCACCACACCACCATCATCATCTTTGTTGCTGTTCATATGCTAAAAACTGGGACATAAAGTTGCATGTCAAATATACTTAATGTGATTTAATTTAATTGTTTCTATTGAATATTTTAAAGGCTTGCAACTTTACTTTGCCATTTTGATTATCCATGTCTTTTTAAAAAACTATCTTCCCTTTTCTAATGCAATGACCATTTTTATTCAAAACAACATGAAGCCAGATTTAGCACTGGTTCTTCTGGAAATTTGATTATTTCAGTTTGGTTAGAGTAAGCAGGAATAAGATTTTCACTTTTATATAAGAAACTTTTTTTTTGGCTGCCAAATTTATTTCTGAGAAAATGTCCTTTTGGAGGGGGTATCAATATTCAAACTGGGATGCAAATATACTTTTATTTATATTTGGACTGTCAAATGATTATTTTGTACTGTATCAAATCAGGATGTAATCTAGTCAAGATTATTGTTTTTTTTTTTAAAAAAAAACAATAACGTAACTGCATATTCGTGATAGACTCCTTTCTCATGGTTCCAAAAATTACTAATTTCTCATGCCACGAAATTAGTCAAGTAATATCCATGAGATATCATCCTAGGAAGTATGACTAGGTTCTTAATACAGTGATAATACTGACTTGCAATGTCTGTGAGCAAAATCTACAGTCTCAGATGCTCACGTATTTTTAGTGGAACAACATTGCAGTTTGTATACGTACGTATATGATGAATATGTATGTGTATACATTTTGTTTTCACAAATAGTAGAGATCCAGTTATACTTAAATTTTTCAAAAATGTTAGTGATACTTTTGCAAGATTTAACTGAGGTGAAATTCCATTTCAGTTGAGTTTGGAACCAAAGGACTGAAAAATCTAAGTTATCCTATGATTGATTGCATCTTTGAAATATTCTGTTCAGTTTGTTCACTAGAGAATTGCAATATATTTTCATAATGTACCAAATACTTACTAGGCCTTAAGATATTATGTTGAATGAACAAAATGACATAGCAAAACATTTGGATTCTCATATTCATTATCATCATTTCACCAAATCCTCCTGCTTGGAGCAAAGCTGATGTTTGAAACAAGCATCTGTGCTGCTTCAGCAACTACATGCATTAAAAAAGGAGATAGTGATACATATAGTTTTTCTTTCCCTGTGAACTTCATCAATTCCTTTTCAAAGCAGATTTTCATTAAAGATATTTAATTTTCGCATGTAATGTGTATATATATATATTTATATATATTAGAAAATGTGCTTGTTGTCAACTGTCTGATCTTAGTAAAATTTGAAAAATATCAAACTCTTAAGTGGCATTACCACAATGCTCAAATATGTTTAATTTTGCTTTCTTCATGTTAGCAGCAGCAATTGTTCACAACGTTGATCTGATTTTGTTCCCCTTAGTGGAAACTTAACAATAAAGTTAAATGAAATTTTTGTCTGCAAAGGCTTAAAATCGGTTCATAAATAATATTTCCCAATGATATTTTTCTGTTTCTAGGTTTTTATATCGACTGTTGTTGTCATTTTCTCCATGTGATATTGAAAGACATTTCTGTGCATTAGAATTGAAATCATAACACTGCTTAAACAAATGTGATTTTTAATTAGAGTACCCTTAAATAGTTACGTGCAATTTCTTAACATAAAAAGTATATTTGTTGGTAGCCACAAAATGATAATTTGTACATCTATCCTCTAACACGGGGTCCCAGTGTAGCTTTACTCATGCAAGTGGTGGGCTGGCACATACACGCATGCATACGCAGCTCAACTAGTCAAGCTACATGTGCTTGTGTGTGTGCACTAGCCCACCCCTCATGCGAATAGAGCTATGCCCATGCATGTGTGCCAACCCGGTGCTCATGTGGCCCAGTTTCCCTCTACCCCTCCGGCCAGGCCATCAAGCCGCAAAGGTTGGGGATACCATACTATGAGTGAAATCCAGTTTAATGGGGCTACAAATGGAAGGGATATTAAAATAAATAAATCAAGAGATACATGGAATAATCTAATTCTTTATTAGATTCACAATATTAGTTGGACACCATTGAACAGATCTTTTGAGGTGCATGGGAAGCATATTTCCCTTTACACCAGTTATATGCAACTAATTGCCTTCATTGGGATGGCTATTTTAAAATCTCCCACGATTAAGCCTTTGGGAGTTCATTGATGAAGAAGGAAAAATGACAGCTGTGTACACTTTAGGCAACACTGGTCCAGATAATTTTATTAAAAAAAATAATAGGTAAATCAATCCATTGATGGTATATTCAAAAATGCACATTTATTCTAATACTGCATTACTTCTCCAATATATTAGTGTTTTTCAATCTTGGCAACTTTAGAATGCATAGATGGTGCTAGGGGATTCTGGGAGTTGAAGTCAACACGTTGTAAAGTTGCCATGGTTGAGAAATACTTTCATATAGTATACATAAAAATCATAATTTAATCTTTAGATTTAAGGAAATAAAATAGTGATTACTTTAAAAACCCAAATTAGTAAATCTCAAAGAATTCTTAATGGGCGAAATAAATTAATATTATTTATTTTAAAAGTATAACATTTAACTATATATTAAGAGATTGGAAGGGGGAAATCTTAAAATTATTTGATGGTCTATGAAGATTTATTCATCTACCAAATACAATGGGAATAGTGCATAGAGTATTTGTTTTTTGTTTTTTTTTAAACTGTCACCTTTAATTTTTTGTTGATCAGTTGTACAAATTGCTGGAGCTTTACTTTCGATTCTTGGTTCTGTTTTCACTAAAATTTAACCAGCAAGTACACAAATATACAACAATCACAATAATTGGAACTCTTCAGATTAAGACTTGAATCGGCCAGTTCATAAAAATGCTATTACAAGACCTAGAAGTAACTTAAGAAATTAACAATATATTACTGCAAGTTTCTTACGAAGTTGAAGAACTTAGCCATAGTGCTTACACTTCCTGCTTTGAAAAATTTAGAATATGTAAAAGTAGTTATATTTAACCATTATTGTAAAAGAGTTTAAATAACAGTCTCCCTTCTGTCCCTCTTTTCTAACCACATACACAGAATTTGTTTGACTTTCTATTATAGCCTCATAGTAATTCTTAAAACTTGGACCCAATAAGAATTAAAGCAGCCAATGGCCTTATTAATATTCCAAGGGGCTGTGAACTTATGTAATGATGGCTTTCATTCTTGTCTTTTGTGCAGACCGGTTTGGGCTTGGCCAGCCAGGCAGGTTGCCTGCCTCTATGAATGCAATGCGAGTTCTGAGTACAAGCACAGATCTGGAGACTGCTGTGGCAGATGCATTGGTAAGAGGGAAAGCACAACATGTTACCAACTCCAGAAAGTTACTTGAAGTTGCTTTCTGTACGTACATTTTCCTCTCTTAATTTTATATGTGTTCTATTAAATGAGCCTGTATGTGTACATGTGAGTCTGCCTAAATCTTTCTTTAGGATTTGGGAAGATGTGAGGAAAGGGAGTTTTAATCCATAATTGCATTGTGAAGAGTTAAATTGTTGGTATTAGTGCAGTGAAATGTGGAAGATGAGTTTCACAGTCTGATCCTGATTTTTTAATTTGTGGAAATAAATCTTACTGTTTATATACATTATCTCTCAAGTGAATGCATTATAATAGTGAAACCATCTGTGTCAAATGCTCATGAATGCCACTATGAAGAGAATTGACCAGTCTCCTAGTATAAGTTGTGAATAATACTTATACTGGATGTGTCAGTATGTGCAATATTTGCTTCGTGTTCCACAATTGTGTTTTATTCTTATTCATTTGCCAATTTTGGAAAGTTAAAATTTATAGTTGAAATAGCTATTGAGAATAAATTGCTTTGTCCTACCCTAGGGAAAGTTGTATGGGTTATCTTGACAAAGGCTCCTGTCATTAATTCTAGAAGTTTCTGATCAGGTCACGTGTTAATTACCATTAACAATAATTAATAATAATTAGATTATGGGTTGATTGATGTGCACCTGTTGGTTGGTCTTTGGATGATTTGCAATAATAAAACACATTTGTGATTCTTAGTTATGTAGCAGTAAAAGGAATACAATTGCAGTCATCCAGTCATCACTCTTCAATTCTGAAATTCTATTAAATATAAGAAAGGTTAAAAAAACAAAAGCTTATGTACAAAAATAAGGTGAATTAAAACATGTTCCTGGACTTAAAGTTCATTAAATCTATGTACTTTAATATTTTCAAATTCTCTTGTACTCTTGAAATTAAGAGTCTACTTAAAAGCAAAAATATATAAATACTTTTATAAACAAATTACTGCATCCCTGATTGCAGATGATTCTATGGACTAGGTTTTAAGTTCATTTTTATTGAACATTACTTTTGACATTTTGCTGTTACTCCCAAATGTTGGAGATCCAGGGTGGCAGACAATATATGGAAGGCTCTTAGCATTATGAACTATGAGTTACAAGATAATGTACAAATAGCTTCTATTGTCTCTAAATATGTTATTGTATAACACAGTGCAGTGAAACCTGCATTCTCATCCACTGAATGATTGATAAATACTATATGAAACTGGACTTTTGCAGATTATTAGGAAGCACATGCTACATGCACATTTTTGACATTATTTTATAGCAGAAAAAAACCACAATTCGAACATTTTCTTTTGCTTTTCTGCTGAATCCAAAATTGTATTATTTTTATTCCATTGGCACTGTTCATAAAGACTGAATATGTAATGGATTTGCAAACTAAACTAAAAAATAATGAAATATTAAAATTGGAGCCACTTGGCTGATGAAGGTTTAGTTTCTGATTTATAAAATGAGGTTTATTGGATAAAATGATTTTAATTATAGGTTGATAACCAGGATTTTATTAAATACAGATAATCCCCGAGTTACAAGCGTTCCCTTAGCGAACATTTGAAGTCATACAATAAGCCCCCCCAGTGCTTATGAGCAAGTCTTGAAATTACGAATGTTGCCGCACCACGGCAGTCGTTCACCTTTACGAGTGACCACAGTGGTACTGCAACATTCACCCTGGTTATTCCCTCCCTCCCCACCCCTGCCATGGGTCTCCCTAGGCACTAGGCCTTCAGTACTCACCCTGTGAAGATCGAGATCCTTCGCTTTCTTGGTGCTCCAGGCCTTCGGTGCAATTGCAGAGAATGGAGGCCTGAAGTAACACAAGTTCACGCGAGATCAGTGGGGCGACATCTCACGCTACTGATCTCGCATGATCTCATGGTTCTTTAGGCTTCTGTTCTCGGCAACAGAGAATGGAACTGAAGCTGGGGGATCCTTCTGTATACCTCTGCCGCATGGACCTATGGCCGGGAGACACTTCTGAGGCCTTCCAGAGGCTGGATCCGGCCATTGGAGGCCTTTTCCAGACTGCTGCCACCCAGATCTGAGGCTGCAGAACACTTCCGTGTATCTCGGTAGGCTGCATCCGGGTGCTGGAGGCCTTTTCCAGGCCGCTAAACCCCCCCCCGGAAACAGACCTCTGGAGGGCCGTGGGAGCATCCCAGAGCCTCAGATCTGGGCAGCAGCAGTCTGGAAAAGGCTTCAGACAGCCAAATCCGGCCTCCAGAGGCATATGGAAGCATCCCCCAGCCTCAGACCCGGACAGCAGCATGAATGGACAGAAAATGGATCTCCGATACTTCATGTTCAGTTAACGAGCCGTGTGCGTTTTAACGAGCAGGGAGTGATTCATGTTCGAGATACAAGATTCATTCCCAGGTTTTTGAGTTACGAATGGAATGGACAGGCGCCATTACATTCGTAACTCGAGGACTACCTGTATAAGAAAAGGTTGCCCAGTAATATATGATTAATATAGTTACATAAATTACATGGTGATGGAGATCTCATTCATAGTTATGTGAAACAATATTTCAAACAACTACAGTTCCAGTTCTTTTTCATCAAAACTGCCATAGAATTACATGTGGAATTTTGGAAATGCAAGGGTAGGTTGGGAGCTGATCGTTGATGCTCTGATTCAAGTGACTTGAGCTTGGATATGGGGTCTGGAAGAAATGAAGGCCTGCTGTCCTCAGTGTTGGTAAATGTGGCTTTCATCTGGCTTATCTTTGGCCATAAACCTCAAATAAAAAGAAATCCTTTACCTGAGATAACTTTCCAGCACTGTGATTTTAGAAGGAAGGTTATAATTCTAGCTCCTGTGAGTAGAAGATGCTCTGACTCTTTTCTACCTATTGATAACCATGTATGAAATCATCCATCAGTTCAATATCTTTTTCTTTTGCTTCTTGAAGATATAACTTAAATAACAACAAATTTTGATATAATTTTAAATGATAGCAAATACCTTAGAATAGAGAACTGAACTTTTGGCCCTGAAGTGTAGCATTCATACAATTGCACACAACTCCTCCTTTAGCAAAAATTGTGAGTATTTTAGGAATTTCACTACAGTACAGTGTATATCTGTTTTCCGTTTCACAATTGTAGAAAGTTTAATTGTCTATTTTCCCAGCAATCCCATTCTAAGAGTTTCCAAAAGGGGATAGAGGCTACATGCTTCGCCGCTGTGTTCTAGCTTTCATTGATCAGAACTATTTAAATCAGCGGTCCCCAACCTTTTTGGCTTGGCGGCCTGGCGGAGGGGTGGAGAGGAAAACCAGGCCGCGCAAGTGGCAGGCTGACATCAGTGTGCACGTGCAACTTGATTTGTGCAAGTGGTGGGCAAGTTGAGCTATGCGCGTATCTGCACACAAGCCAGCTCACCGCTGACACAAGTCGAGCTGCGCACGCATGCACACTGGTCCACCACTTGCGTGGCCCTGTTGCGAATAGGCCACAGCCCTGTAGTAGTCTGGGGGTGGAGGATCCCTTATTTAAATGATACTGTTATTCTAATTTGTAGTATTTGCCTTATTTTTATCAAATTCTAAGTAGTGTGATGAGCACATTTGGTTAATTTCACTTACAAAGAGATAAACTGATTGAGAAATTCACATAAGGATATATTTAATGATGTTTTGTTCCTTTTTTTTTAGAAACCCTCTTTAAAATTTACAAGTTCCTAAAATGTGATGCGTAAAAAAAAAAAAGTTCATCTCCGTCTTTTCAGAATTTAGCTGCTTTTGCACTGTGTTGTTGATGATCACCATCAACAGTTCTTTAATTTTCTTCGGCTATTCCCTTGCCTATTTGTCTTCATCACTTCTTATGTAAATATTCTAATAGCCTTAAAGGAATATTTCTCTCTTCTCTCCTTTGTTCTTCTTTTTTGGATTCAAGATACTTTGCTTCACAGTAAAAGCTGTATTTCCATTAGAAAAAAAAGATGCAAAACAAGTCCCTTCAGGTCAGATTCTCAGTCCTGGCCAAGGCTGATTGTTGTACTTGTAAAAGGAGAGCAACTGAGCCTGGTCCAAGGGGGGAGTTCTTTTATTCCTAGATCCCTGCAGAGAAAGACCTGTTGACAGGGAAACCAGATAAACTTTGAGATAAAGGGAATTTATTCAATAGTAGAGAGAATAAGCTAGAAGAACTGAACTCTTAACCCTCACAGCATATTTGATCATCTTTAGTGACAAAAGAGCTCTTGGAGTTTAATTCCAGGAGATGAGGGAATATTTCCAGACTTGGGAATTGATATATCTATTACAGTACTCAAATGGCACCTAGTACATAAATAATAACTACGTTAGATCTCTTTTTTTTTCTGAGAGTACTATACAGACATAAACATGACATGAAACAGATACAACCTACAGCTGAGAAAGGAAGCCATCAATTTAGACATTGCAATTGCTGAAAACTAACAGGACAGTTTCTCAATGATTTGAGGCCAGAAACATGTAGCTGTGGTGCAAGCCCTAAAATAGGCTTCAAACAAAAACACAAAATGTGTGGGGGACGGAATCCTAGCTTTACCCATATGCAATATATAAATCCATCCTAACCTATCCATTGTGGACTTTACTCTCAGGAATAAGTCCTCCCCAAGGAATAAGTCCTCCCCAAGCCCCTCCCCCCAATATAACCCGTTTCTGGCATAACATATTAATGTTGCCTTTAGAAAGCCAGATTTCTAAATGCATATTACTTGTGTGCATGTATTTTTTTGAAGTCCTTGGCTGTAGGAAGATGAGAACAATAGAGTGCACAATTTCATGCCTCTGTCTGAACTCATTTTATATTTCTTAAAAGAAACTGGCTGAATTTGTATTTTTAATTTGCTAAGACTCATTTGCTTGTGTTTTTGTTGCAAGAAAAATGCCTGCAGAAGCTTCTGACATAATTCTCTATGCTTTTTCCCACCCTTCAATATTTTCCTGCATACAGCTCTTAGGAGACTCCAGAAGCAAGGTACTAGTGCCATCCTGACATTTTTTTTCTCCCTGCCTCTTTCTTTCTTTCCTTCCCTCCCTTCCTCCCATTTTTTTTGCTTCCCCTGTTACAATATGATATAGGGCTGTAATTATTTTGATACCTTAATGTCCAAGCCTTGTATCCTATCAAACTACTTTGGTGCCTTCAACATGTTTAGTATATCTGTCTACAGTAAAGTCAAGAAAACACAAATTCTGCCATAAATTAATTTTACATATATATATAAAATTATATGTAGGTCTTTGGTTGTTCGGGTTTTCTCCCACGTAAAATTGGAAGTGTCTTGGCGACGTTTCGACGAAGTCCCATTCGTCATCTTCAGGCTGGTGTTTTCAGCTTCGTGCTCCTCGAAGCACGAAGCTGAAAACACCAGCCTGAAGATGACGAATGGGACTTCGTCGAAACGTCGCCAAGACACTTCCAATTTTACGTGGGAGAAAACCCGAACAACCAAAGACCTACATACAAACACCCGCGAAAACCTCAGAAAACACATAAAATTATATATATATATATAAAATTATATATATAAGAGGAATTGTTTTTGGCCACATATAAAATATATAATTTAGTTAATATATATAAATAACAAGCTTCATTTATTTTATTTTTAAAATATTTGTATTATCTTGTGGGGCCACATTACTAGCTGCCCAGGGCCGCAGGTTGGACACACCTGATATAGACTTTCTGAAAATTACACAGAAAATATATAGGAAGGTAGAAAAGATATGGAAATAGGCTTAGGAGGTTAATTTATATTCTGTGATGAAGAAATGGTAGCCACAGAAAAAAATTTGATAATAAGACTCAGGTTCTCATTAGGTCTATGCAAAGCCTTCAGGAGAGAAGCTGCATAACAGGTGGGAGCAACTATGAAGCAATGTGGCAATACGTTCAAGACAGCTGGGAGCAACTTATCAAGCAGTTTTGTAGACCTGAAAAAAGCTATTTTACCATTTGAAAAGAGCAGCTTTAAATCTGCTCTTTCATATTATAATGCATCTCTTTTGAAGAATTTGCATAATTCCTCATCACTTAAAACATGCCTTGAGGGCATGGACATCTTTGTCTGGCACTCACCTGGATTTAACATGATCAGGATGATTTGTAGCTGAATTGTTTCATTTGCAAATGTGGGATGCTTCAGGGGGTTGGGGAGAGCCCGGGAAGCCAGCACGTGTGTGGGGACCTGCCAAGGGCCAGCTAAAGGGCCCCCTAGCGCACAGACTAGGAGGCCTCGGCCTTGTTCACACCTCACAAGGCCCAGGAGGCCCAGACCTGCTCCCCAGCCTGCACACCTGGGAAAGGCCCAACAAGGCACATAAATTGCTCTGCTTACCTTTGCATTTTTCTGCAGCTTCTGATAGGTGCACCTAGCCAATGTGACGTGCAGCCCTTCTACAGATGCCACCTCATGCCATTCTGCAGATGAGCACCAGCTCTCACAATCATTCTGAAGGCTAAAAGGCTAGAGACTCACTCTGACCTCCCAAATGATTGTGCTACTGAATGCATTTATTGGAAAGGCTATAAAGAAGCTTTTTTTTAGTCTCCTAAACAATCATATGAGCTGGCACCATTCTCTTTTTACCCTAGGCCAGGGATAGGCAACCTTGGCTCTTTTATGACTTGTGGACTTCAACTCCCAGAATTCCTGAGTTTGCATGGCCGGTTCAGGAATTCTGGGTATTGAAGTCCATAAGTCATAAAAGAGCCAAGGTTGCCTACCCCTGCCCTAGGCTAGAAAGCTAGTGAACATGATTATTTGGACAGCTAGAAAGAGCCTCTTTCTAGCTTTCCAAATAATCACCAGAGTTGATGCCAGTCTCACATTAGTTCGGAGGTCTACTTCTCCAAATCACACAATTTGGCATCTGCTTGCAGAATAGCATGAGACAGTCTCTATAGGAAGGCTGTATATTGCATCTGCTAAATGTTCCTGTCAACAGAGGCAGAAAAACTCAAAGGTAAGTGGGCAAATTACGTGTGCTATCCCTATAACAAATTGAGGTCTTCTGGGCATAATAGGATGGAGAGCAGGTCCAGCCTCTAAGCCTGCAGTAGATTTGTGCACACTGATGGGTCTGCTGGGCAGCTGAGCTGGGGCACCCCTGTGGTCAGTCCTAAGAGCAGATAGGCTGCCAAGCACTTAAATGTTCATTGTGGGGCAATGGCTGTAACATTGAGTAAGTCCCTTTGTTTAGCCCTATTATAATTTTAAATGGTCACATAATGAACGGTGATTAAGCAAGGAATATCTGTACTTTAGTGAAATCATTCAAAACTCCTAAATCCAATATTTAATTCCCCCTTCCACCAGAAAAAACCGGTGAGAAGAAGGTATGAACCATATGGGATGTATTCTGATGATGATGCAAACAGTGATGCCTCCAGTGCTTGCTCAGAGCGGTCCTATGGTTCCCGCAATGGAGGTATCCCACACTACCTGCGACAAACAGAAGATGTAGCTGAGGTCTTAAACCACTGTGCTAGTTCCAACTGGTCTGAAAGGAAGGAGGGGTTAATTGGCTTGCAAAACCTATTGAAGAGCCAGAGGACATTAAGGTAAGTGTATATTTAATTAGTAACTATTAGTATATTTTGTACCTGTTATTTATCAAGTCTTTAAAAGAGTTCCATAGAGTATGACATGTTTATGCTTCTTCTAATTCATCAATATTTTGTTTAATATTAATCTTAGTTGTATGGTGTATTTTAAATAGCCAGCATTTTAATGATGGGACTGTGTTTTTTGTTACTCTCACCCATTATTATCATTATTTTCGAATCCAGTTTATAATTATGATGAACAATTGGAATTAATATCATTGCAGAATAGCTTTTCTACTTAGTGATAGAGATATTGTAGGTATTCAAAGCTGTTCATATAATGGAATGTATTTAGGAGCCTTTTCATCTTCTTTTTACTTTGAATAAATTAAGAAAATAGAGAAGATTTTGAAAAAGTTGAGCTGTGGCTTAGAACATACTTTGTAATGCTGTAATTCTGTCCTCTTTTAAATACAGGTAGTCCTTGGCCTACAACAGTTCACTTAGTGACCGTTCAAAGTTGCAATGATTGTAACAAAGCTACAACCAGTCATATTACTAATTTAACAACTGCAGTGATTCACTCAACAAATGTGGCAAGAAAAGTCGTAAAATGGGGCAAAACATAACTTAATAAATTTCTCACTTAGCAACATAAATTTCAGGTTTAATTATGGTCATAGGTTGAGGACTACCTGTCCAGAATTGAGCAATTTATGGTTGGCAGCCTTGCATAATCATTTTTTTTCAGTCCAGAAATATATTATGCATAGATGCTGACAGACAGGCATCATGCTGCTAAAGATATTTATTTTGCTGTAGTAATTAAGGTTCTGACCTAAAAATTAGGAGATTGTGAGTTCTTATCCCACCTTACACCGGAAAGCTAACTGGTTGACTTTGGGCTAGTCACATCTCTCAGTTCAGCCCAAACCACCTCACAAGGTTATTGCTTGCAGGGAAAATAGGAGAAGGAAGGAGTATTAGATACATTCCCTTGAGTATTAGATACTCAAAGGTGAGATAAAAAAACTAGTAAGTAAATAAAAATAAAAACCAGAGAAAGCAAAAAGATTTTGAACGTTTTGCATCATCTCCTTTGGAGATTTCATCCACATATCTCAGTAATCAAAAATACATTGAGTGAAGGTGAATTGTCTTGGGCCGTATATAAATTATATAATTAATATATATAAATCACATAATGATGTTAAAAGTTTATGATCTTGTGGGGTCACATTACTAGCTGTCTTGGGCTGTGGATTAGGCATGCCTGATTTAGATTATATCACAAATGTTAGAAGGCTAAAGTATAATCTAACCTTATATTGAAGTCCTCTCATCTGTTGAGATTAGAGTCAAGTTTCCTTGTCTATACTCATTTGCTGGTTTGGAAATAAATGATGGGTTTTGTATGTACATTTTTCTTGCTATCTTTTGCCATTTCTAATGTTCTACAATAATTTGGGGGGGTTTTTTGTTTGGGTTTAGCCGTGTGGAGTTGAAAAGGTTATGTGAAATCTTCACACGTATGTTTGCAGACCCCCATAGCAAGGTAAATTTTAAAATATATGCACCTTTTATTAAGAATCCATAAATGTTGGAGTTTGGGTTATAAATAAATGATTGAATTGAAATGATAATCATACTATTTCAACTTTTGTGCTAAATAGTTGTTCAGTTTTTGCAGTTATCTCTGGTGAGATATTTTTAAATTCCATAATTAAATCATACAAGTAGAATATTATCTAGAGGAGAACATTTCCTTTAAATGTAAGAAGATAAATTATTTCAAAAACATGTATTGCCTCAAGAACTAAGCAGTTGACCTTGCATATTAGAAAAATATTCTTTCATAAAATTATCTTAAACTTTCTGTGAAAGGCAATTTATCTGAATGCAAGGGAAACTGCCTTAAAGCAATTTGCTTTGATTTTTTTTATATCAGTTTACTAATGAATGGTTTGTTTTGTTGCATGGCCTGTTTTGCGGTGGAATTCACAACAGAGAGTAAGTCTATTTTCCTTCCTCACCACTTAATCTCACTTCTTTTATCTATTTAATGTGAATCATCCAGTACATCCTGGTGCTTCACAATATTAACATGGATGTCAAAATCATCCCTATTAATGCAGGTCTTGTTTGCCTTTGGTTTTCATCATTTTTGTGTTAATCATGATATTAATAATTATGTAAATCATGACTTCTCCTGTTATCTCTTTTAACTTAAAGGTTTTCAGCATGTTTCTTGAAACCTTGGTAGACTTCATCATTATTCACAAGGATGATTTGCAGGACTGGCTCTTTGTTCTTCTGACACAGTTACTCAAGAAGATGGGTGCTGACCTGCTGGGATCAGTGCAGGCCAAAGTGCAGAAAGCTCTGGATGTAACAAGGTAGTGTATCTGCTAAGTAATTGGCGATAACCTGCTGACATTTTTTTTACATAATGCAAAACCAGCTTTGTCAAACCTAGTGTCTTGCAGATACGATGGATTGCAATGATTATCGTCTCCAGATAGAATAGCTATTATTTAGTGTCTCATAAATTGAGTCTGTTAAGCCACAGCCATGAGCCTCTCATCTGATACAATTGTCCAGATGGAAATTGGAAGAATTTATTTCCTCATTTAAATCCCGCGTCAAAATTAGGCTAAACTAAGAATACATGAAAGTAAAATCTTTGAAGTAAACAAGTTCAAAATAGAGTAATCTACACTTGGATTGCTTCTTTTTACTAAGACTTGGATCCTTTATCTGTCCTTCTTGTGGCTTAAGAACATACATAATTACTCAAAGTTGACTGAAAACTGGGGGTGTATCTATTTATTTTTATTTCTTAGACTGTGGCATGCAACTGCTATATATTTAATTTTTCTCTGTCTGAGGAAAACGCTTGTTATATTTAAATCTTGGAACTTGTTCTCATGCTCTCTCTTCCCTTTTCCCTTTCCATTGTAGAGATTCTTTTCCATTTGACCAACAATTTAATATTTTGATGAGGTTTATCGTAGATCAGACCCAAACACCAAACCTTAAGGTAGGTTAAGGTGCTTGTAGTTTCATTGGGAAGTGAGCATGTCTGAGAGTAAAGTCAAGCATAATGCTTACATATAGATAAGTGGAGCAAATACATTTTTATTCTTGGTTATATTTTAAGGGTTTTGAGAAAAACTAGAGCTGGCTCTTTTGCAGCAAGCAATGGTTCATAAAAAGATTGGGCCTGAGAAAAGGTTTTTTTGCTTTGGAATTTGTTGTGTTACCTTTATTTACGAAATGTGTTCTATTCACTTCAGGTAAAAGTGGCAATATTAAAATACATTGAATCCTTGGCTAGACAAATGGATCCTACAGATTTTGTAAATTCCAGTGAGGCTAAACTTGCAGTTTCTAGGATTATTACCTGGACAACAGAACCAAAGAGCTCAGATGTAAGAAAGGTGAGTCAAAGCAATGGGAGGCAATAATTGGTGGAATTCTTGTAAATTCATTCAAAAAAAATTAAGATTATATCAAAGGGATAAATTCATTCAGTTCGATTCAAAATGTGCTGGATAAATACATTCCTTCCTTTGGTAGAAGCCATTTGCTCCAACCAAATATTTCCGTTATATTAGTGTAATAATTTGCATTGATCCCCCCTCTCTGCAGTCTTCTTTGTCATTCCTTTCCCCTTTTTTCTGGAGCTTTGGGTAAATTTTCACATAGTGTGGAAGGGCATGCTAAAGAATGCAGATTGAGACTTTTCAGTTAGTGGAAGCATTTGAGTGGAATTCAGTTCAGGGAAGATTCATTCTCTGAAATGAAATTAGAGATGGATAACTTTTGTGGGCAAAAACCTTGTTCAGGAAAATAATCAGGAGCCAAATTATGTTTTGGCTAAAAATGAAACCTTGACAAAACACATCTTGTTTCTCTTTCTCTTCCCTCCCCTTTATTATAATCACAATTGAAAGATATTCTTTTATCTTCTGAAATTTTGTATGTATTCCAAATGTGTGTGCAAATGCACTCATGAAAGTACAAATGCATATCATTCTTTCCAGACAGGGCATATCAAGCACACACGAAAGGGAAATTTATTTCATGTCCATCCATGTATGCATTCACATGCATCTTTTGTATCCTCCCCATCCACACACTTTACTAGAACCTGTAGGAAGCAAGGTTTCAGGTGAGCAGTGGTAGGATGGAGAGAAAATTGCTGGCCATGAATTCCAACTAATGGCTTAAATAAATAAAAAGTTTTGGAGACTAAGAAAAACTTTTCCTATTTTTAAAATATGACAAGGTAAGAATTCTGTGGAAGGCATGGTAGTAACCCTGTGCAGATAATACAGTGCCCCTTAAAGCACTTTCACAAAAAACATGTAGTAGTACTGCACCATTCCACTTCTATTCAATGGAGCACTCATGCCATCATTTTGCTTGGGAACAGTGGCTTCTGCTGATTGACCTGCCTCAACTCTTTGTTAAAGTAGAGCACTAAGTGACTGTGAGTTGTTTACAGTGCTGAGGCTGTGCAGTAAATCTCTGTGAGGCAAAGTATGTACTTCATCAGAGCAAATCTTCCATGATCATACATGCACATATACATACACAATGAGAAGTAGAGAGAGCAGTTGCCTGTGAGGTTCCTCCGTCAGCTTTTCAGTTTTCTTACTAGTTCCTCTGTGAGGAAAAGTTAATCATATCAAGTTTCAAATTTGCTTTCTTGCCAACGTTCACATTAACGTGGTCCATGAAGTTCCCAGCTGTGCCATGAGGTGCCGTCTTTGTCATGCATGTCAAAAAGAACATCACCTTGGAAACTTTTTAGAGTAAGGTTAAGCTGTGTAGAAGGAAATGCGCGCTTGTGATGTTCAAGAGGAGAGGACAGATTAAAGGAAGTCCATTGAAATCGAAAAAGGAAGCTGATTAAAAAAAATGCATGAAATGAATCTTGCCAAAAGGCAACAACATGTAGTGCATACAGATTAAATGGCAGGGGATGAATTATATAGCCCCGTGGTGGCGAACCTATGGCACGCATACCACAGGTGGCACACAGAGCCCTCTCTGTGGGCACGCGCGCCGTCACCCAGTCCTAGGCCTTCAGCTGGGTTTTAAAAAACCTTTTCGCTTTAGGTCTCCGCTGCTGTGTGCAAAAAAAAAAAAAAGAAGGTTCAATCAATCAATCAATTTCAACTTCTCGCGGGGAAATAAAGATCTCGCAAAGTTGGAATTGATTGATTGATTGAACTTTTTAGTCCCACCCAGTCTGCCGTTACCACTGCAGCCATGCCCACCCAATGGGCCTTGCTCACCCAATGGGCCACACCTATCTGGCACTTGATGATACATAAGTGGGTTTTTGGGTTGGAGTTTGAGCACTCGGTCTCTAAAAGGTTTGCCATCACTGATATAGCCTTTTGAATATCCATTTTGGAATGAGAGCTACTGCATTGAATTTGTTGAGTGTAAAGTTACAACATTAACAATTGTTTACAGTGAAACAAGGCATCATTAAATAGACAATAAGGCATTCAAGAAGTATTTCTTCAATGAAACAATATGACTAATGGATTCAGTGCACAAAAAAGAGAAACAATTCACATTGGGGTTTACATGCTTTTATTCCTTTTCTACAAATTGTTTTTATGCTAACCATGATGCAGAAAGATGCATACAACGATTCTTGCAATGGATATTGCTGATATAGTTGTCTTGTGACCATATTTTATAAGGCTACTTCTTAGCCAGATTATTTGAACAGTCCTATTATTATTTAAAGACAGTTTAGATCTGGAGATAGATTAGGATTAACTCAAGCAGTCAACAAGAGGACATATTTAAAAGGATTTATATATTTTCTTTTTACTTCAAGGCAAAAATATGATAGAAATTTGCAGAAGCATTAACATTATGAAAAAATAATGTTATTTCGTTATTCATCTAATGCTGGAGGGCAAAAAATATGATCTGTGAGCTGCATGCTGTCCACCACTACTGTATTCATTGGGTCCTTAAAATAATGTTTCTTTCACGATAGCGATAGTAGTCAGAGAAAACCTTTATTGTACATAATAAATCAGGAGAGAGGCTAATTCTGTCTCCTTCCATCATACTGATAGAGACAATGAGAAAAGTTAGTTACCATGGGAAAGATCTTTTCTCTAAACCTTTATTCCAGGTTCCAGAACAAGGAGTTCTGTCAAAAGCAACTTCCAGTGTTTGTTACATAGAAAAAAAGTATAAAAACATCTTTTAAATAAAACAGCTTGGTGTTTTCCTCATTGTTAGGTAAGCAAATGTCTACTGTGCTGATGACTGTTAAGAGCCCACTTAACACTATCATCACCACCACCACTCAAAAATTAAAACTTCTCTTTGGTATTTTAACATGCCAATATCATCTAGAACACGGGTGTCAAACTAGCCGGGTCATGTGACATGTTGCAACGTATCGTGACTTTTTTTGCATTGCCGGAGCTGGGGTGGGCCCGCCCCGCCCTCTACATGATGCAACCGGCCCCGCCCTCTACATGATGCAACCTGCGCACAGGCCTGTAGTTTGACAACCCTGATCTAGAACTCTAATCTTATTCACAGGTCAATAGTCATTTTAAAAATCTTTTTTAATATTTCAAAGTATAGTTTACAAAAATAGGTTGAATGTTGCTCAACCATAAGGAGAAAATACTTTTGTATACAGTGCATCATTGTTAGTGCTATTGCAGTGAAAGGCTTCCTAATTTGCTGCTTTGCAGATTTGCTGCTGCTTGACTGCATCAGGCTTTAACCGTATGCACATATCTGTTTAGAAGCAGGCTGTAGTAAAAAGATAAACCAACTTCTGATGGTTCACTTAGACACAGTAGCATCTGTGACATAAGTACAAAGTTGGAGATAGAACTGGCTGGCTTCAGATTGTAAGTTTTGTTTATCTGTTTTCAAAAAGGCTGAGTAAGGAAATAAATAACTAAAAATATGTTACAGCCATTGAATGCTATATGAGTAACAGAGGAATTGTAAAATTTACACCTACAAATTGTAAAGGGCATTAAAGTTCAGGTCAGGAAAAAATAAGAGTTACATCCACTTTTACATAATGGCCATCCAGTTTCATTTTTGTGTCATTAGTTCCATGTTGGAAGAGCATCTCTGCTTTATAATGCGGTCAGTGAAAATCTTGTGCTTGGTTCTAATAAATAATATTCCATTTCCTATTTGTTGAACTCAGACCATGCATAGTTGGGTAGGTGAGGATATGCCAGCTAGACCAGCAGCAGCCTCGTCAGGTCCTGGTGAAGGAAACTTGGAAGAAAAATGTAAACAGGTAGACTAAAAGTAGCATACACTAATCATAAAATATTAGTCTGTGTTTGCAGTCCAAAATTCTAATCTAGTTTAGATGTATGGGAAAAATGGATGGGGGGAGGATTTTTTTAAAAAAATGTAGTGGTGTGTGATAACCTCACGTGTGTTTCTTTCACTCTGGTTTGAATTAGATTAAATGAGTATTATATGAGGTATCTGCAGCTAGTTGCAGTCTCTTATGAGTTCACATCCTAATGTGGATGGAAAATGACTGAAAGCTTCCAATTCAATATTGCATGTCTGCTGTTCCATCAACTTGCAACATGCATGTGCTTTAGGTTCTTGCTAATACAGCTCTTCCCTGTTACAGGAGACAAAGGCAAAGGACCTTTATTTATATACAGTGACAACTTGGGTTGTTCCAAAGTGCTTATACACCTTTTCCCTTTGGCATTTGTGGAATGTTATTTACAGTCGCCCCTTTTGATAATTTTTTGAATTTTAATAGATGTTATTGGAAAATTTCTGAGGGAAACAAAATTGTATCAGCAACTGGCAGAATTGGTTTAAGAACCAATAAGGCAGCTGAAAAAAGTATAAAGGAATTTTCACTGCAGCCCAAATTGAACCCACTTGAATTGGGAAGGTACAAAATAGAACTGGATACATAGAATTGGATCTTTTGCTTGGTTGCTATAAAGACTTGCATGTAGATGTCTCTAACTAAACTAAAATTCCCATGCTTGGATCGGCATGATTTTTCTGATTGTTCATATAGCTATTTTTCTTTATTTGTTATCCATTCTTTTCTTGGACTTGACTTGAAATAATATTTTCTGTTCAAAGAATGTTCTTTTAATGAATGTTCCACATTTCTGTAGGGCAGGATGAGTATGACCATATGTGACTTATTTTTCACTTTCTGAGTTCTATGCAAACAGATTTCCCACTTAGAAGTACATTGATTTGAGGAAGAAGGAGAGGCCAGCTGGAACTATTTCATGTTGTTCTTTACTTACAGTATTTAATTTTGAAGGAACAGTGCTTATTCTAAAGGAAAGGATACTGGTTCTAGGACTAAATTTCAGTCATAGTTGATAGGTTAAACCGCACCCAGCCTTTTAGCATCTAACAAGTCATAATGGGTATTTTTTTCAAGCAAACATTACAGGACAGCATACAGAAACTGAAACTTAGTTGTACTTTTTCTTAGTGACATTTTCTTATCCTGCCAAAATTTATTATTAAGCAAATGAAAAATACATATAGAAAGATAGAAATTACAAGTATGGGTTAATAGTTGAAATTAGAAGTTAATAATGCAATCCTATAAATGTTTATTTTAAAGAACCAGTTTGATGTGGTGATTAAGTTACTAGACTAAGAAACCAGGAGACCATGAGTTCTAGTCTTACTTTAAAGATAAATAGAAAGATAGGAATAGATAGACACACACAAACTTACAAAGAAAGAAAGAGAACATTTTCTTCAGGTACTAGCTTCTACTGGAATAGCTAATTTGATTTATAAAAATAAATTGATTTATTGAATAGTTGCAATCAATTATTTAAGTTCACGAATGAATGCATGTTAATGAATCAGTATCACCTGTTCTGTTAACGCAGTGGTTCTCAACCTTTTTAATGCCGCAACCCCCAACCGGTCGTAAGTCAAGGACTACTCAACCAGTCATAAGTCGAGGACTACTCAACTGGGGCAGCACCGTTTGCAGAATGGGACTTTTGGCAGGCTCAGCAGGGCAGAGACAGCCTGGACAATTCCTGTTGGCTTTTGAAAGCCAATAGAATTAGACTCTATTCAAGAGAGTCTATTCTATTGGCTTTCAAAAGCCAACAGAATAAAAGGGAGTGGCACAGCTAAGGAAAAGGGGGAAAAAATGGCGGACTGTGTTGTTTGGCAACCCCCATGAAATGGTCGTTCTGCCCCAAATGGGGTCCCAACCCACAGGTTGAGAACCACTGTGTTAACGTATGAAGTATATGATTGAAGTCTGGAATCAGTTTGTTTACAGGGTAATTTAATTTTCAAAGCTCTGTAAACACAATGTGTTTCTATTTTTTTACAAAAACTTTTTGAACTTGTAATTATTGGAAATTGTTTGATACAGGAAATTGAATTATATGTATTTTTGTTGGACTCTCTCTTGCATTCTTAATTTGCAGTTTAGAGAAAGGGAATTTCATTAGATGTGAGAAGTGTTTTGCTTTGATTCTTTTTTTTTTTTTACTGTAATGGATTGACCCTGTTGTATATTTGGAATGTGTGATATTACAGGTATAATGAATGTACTTAACTGCAGTCCGGATATTGTGATACGTCCCTGTAACATTTAACATTTTTTAAAGAAATCGCTGTGATTCTGACTTACTTCTTCGTTTCACTTCCTAGGCAGCACAAATAGTCCTGATATCTCTATTCGAACTGAACACTCCCGAGTTTACCATGTTACTTGGTGCCTTGCCAAAAACATTCCAGGATGGTGCTACTAGACTATTACATAATCACCTTAAGAACTCCAGCAACACTAGTGTGGTAAGATCAGGGTTTTTTTCTGTAAAAAATAAACAGCAAAAACAAAAATTTCTAAAGACTGTAATTTCTTGAGTACCAGTTAATTTCAGCAGAGTCATAAAAATCTGCAGTTTTGGCTTTACAAGGCAGATACTACTTTTAATAAAAGAGGTGCTGTTATTCTGAATGAATCCAAAGGATGTATGTCTTTTTATTATCCTCAGTTCTGAGTTCAAGAATCCTGTACTTTTTTGTGAACCTGGGTATCGTCTTGATATTGTGGTGGATGGTGTGCATATTGTACCCATAAGGCTCACTTAACCTTGGACTCTCATTATCCCGCCAAATTCTAGGGGCATTTTTTTTACTGCAGTTGTAAAGGACTTTTTAAAGGACTTTGAGGACTTTCAAGAAATAATGCTTAAAAAAAATTGCGCCATTACCCTGCATAGTTTGCTCTATCTACATATTAGCTCTGCTTGCTAATATGCCATGATGCCAAGTGTGGCTCTTGGCAAAAGAAGAGGGAACAGGAAAGATCAGATACTAGAGATCCAGTGGCTTAAAGTTAAGAAAAAAGCTTTAGCTTTAGAGGCTAAAATAGGAGGAGAAAGATGTGGTGGATACGTTTACCGTCTTGAGTTATTTGTAAAAATAATAAAGCCAGGAAATAAATACATACATACATACATACATACATACATACATACATACATACATATCTGTTCCCAGGGAAGTAGTTCAGTGCTGTCTGTAGCACACTATGGTGATGCCAGAATGATGATCTGCTCAATGATGTCACCATGCAAATGCCGCCGCTACAAATTTTCAGTTATTTGTATCAGATGCAATCAAATAGTGTGATATTATGTGATGTCCTGATGCAGGCGTCATCTTTTGCCCTCCAGTGGACAACCAGGAAAGGAGGAGCATTGGGAGCCAATATACAAAATATTCAAGAAGAAATTCAAACCAGAAAATTCCAAAGTTTTGCTGCCATTGAAATGCTCTCACTTTTGAAGCTGCAGCTGGGAAGAACAGTAGAAATGTAGGTCCAGCTGCATGGAAGGAAAAGGGAGATCTTGTCCTACCCTGCTAAACTTGAGTGCTCTTATACGTTCATACACAAACGCCTAACATATCCAGCCAAGACTTCTTACTTCGCTGTATTTCTTGAAAATATGTGCTTTCAAGGAGCCCCCAAAGCCTTTCATTCTAGAATACTGCTAAGTCATTAACGTGAAGGAAAAAAATTCAGGTCTCCCTATAATAACCCTTCTGCTTCTGACAGATAGATGATATGAATGTTGATAAGCAGCTTGTCTTATTTACCTTATAATATAAAGAAACCAATAGTGGATAACTTCCAACCCTAGAAAATTCTTATTGAATTTGAAAGCTACGAAGCAATGGATACTTGGTTAACAGTCAAAGTTAAAATGTTCATAGATATTGCTAAAGTCAGAATTTAAATTAACTGAAGTAAAGTTCCCATATTTCATTTTACTTTTCCCTGTAATTATGTTACATTATGTTATTTCTTCTCTTTTTTTGTATATTAGGGTTCTCCTAGTAATACTGTTGGCCGAACCCCTTCACGTCATCTTAGCAGCAGAACCAGCCCCTTAACTTCACCTACCAACTGTTCTCATGGAGGAATATCACCCAGGTAACATGGTAGCTTAATTAAAGTATGACTCCAATATGTAAAAGCTTTCTGCTTAAAATATAATTGGCTAAAAACTCAATATAAATGCATATGTAATATATACTTGTTCAGTTGTGAAAATAGGGGAAGAAATAATTTTGCTTCTCTTAAGGAAAAAATAATAGTTGTTGTAAAAATACTAAATATTTAGGTAATGTCAAAAAGGTATGATAATATCTACCCTTTTGTCCTGCAAACATATAGTCATAAATATATTCAAATGAATATGTATTATATTAATTTAAAAAAAATACTTTTACATTTGTTCTCGTTTCCTTTACAGTCATATTTAAAGATCTAAAAAAGGAGAGGAGGAACTTTGGGAATGCTTTATCAATAAACTGGAAAATGCGACTTTAGTTTCACTTATTTGTAGTGTTCTTAAAATGTGCTGCCAAGAAAATCAAGAAAAATCATTTTCTGCCTAAAGTGACTGTATAATGGTTGTAGTGGTATAATATAAAAAATATAGTTGATTAACATGCCCATGTTTTTTTCTGCTTCTTATGGGAGATGAGTCTGGATGTATAAATTACGAGGGCAATTCAGAAATAAACCTCCATTTGGTTATCAATGATAGACACTAGCAGATATAGAACTTTTATTATACACATTAGAAAACCACAACGTTACATTACTTTTCAACATAATCACCATTAAATTGAAGCACTTGTCATAACTTCTTACAAGGTTTGAAATTCCTTAATAGTAGTCACTCGGCACCAAATCTGGCTAGGGGGGGGGAGGATGATCAAAAACATCCCAACGGAACTGCTTCAAAAGTTCTTCGGTGTGTCTTGAGGTGTGCGCATGAGCGTTATCGTGAACCAACATCACACTGGAAGTGGTGCCATAGAAAATCCCGCCAAATGTGAAGATGCCAAAGGAGTACTGCTAGTGAAGTTCATGGGGCATGGTTCATCCATCAATTCAGAAGTCTACTGTGAAACATTACGAAAACTGAGACGAGCCATCCATAACAAGTGTTAGGGCATGCTGACTTCCAGTGTGATGTTGATTGACGATACTGCTCGCCTGCACACTGCTAGTCACACCCAAGAAGTTTTGAAGTAGTTCTGTTGGGATGTTTTTGATCACCCCCACTATAGCCCAGATTTTGCACCGAGCGACTACTACTAAGGAATTTCAAACCTTGTAAGATGTTATGACAAGTGCCTCAATTTGAATGGCGATTATGTAAAAAAGTAATGTAATGTTGTAGTTTTCTAATGTTTATAATAAAAGTTCTCTATCTGCAAGTATCTGCATCTGTGAGTGTCTGTCATTGATAACCAAATGGAGGTTTATTTCCGAATTGCTCTCGTACATATAGTAATTAAAATATTTTGAAAGGATGGTGGCAATAAAATTGAGATAGCAGTGTACATATATACATAAATATTCTAATTCAGAACCATTTTCTTCCAAAAGATAGTGTGTGAATAGACTTACTAAAGGGAATAACTACTTGCCTGATCCCAGAATTTATTTGGGGGAGGCATACAACTTGGGGGCATATACCAGAGAAGGGACACTTTAATCTGTTTTGTCTCACAAATATAAATGGAAATATCTTCCCTTATTAAGTAACATTTTTGTCCTGATGGAAATATTACCAGAAGGTTATTGATAGTTCATTGTGAAATGATTTGACCATTAGCATCCTGTCCACATGCTATCAATTTTAAAGTAACTATTTTCTGTTGATCCTGCTACTTAACATATCAACCTCTATCATATTCTGTTGATCCAATATGTTGTTCTGAAATGCAGTCCATACTAAAAGTCTCTACTGAATATTATTGACTCAGAACATTATTTGCAATTGAGTCAAGTGGCCTTTGTTTATAAATATTGAAAATATTAAGTTTCAACTTGCTGGAATGGAATTTGGCACATTAGCAAGTTTGCTCCTCCAAGCAACTCATGAACTTTGATCACAATAAATAGGATTAACAAAAGGTGTATCTGCTTCCTAAACATTTACTGTATTTACACCTGACTCTCTACTTGAAAAATTAATTGCAAACAAAATTCCTACTGTTAGTGGGGTGTACTCCTAGCTATATGCCCTGGGCCCCAACATAGCACCAGGGGATCATCTATTTAGATTTTTAAAATTGAAAACAATGAATGAGAAATGCATATCAGTGTCAGTATAAACTGTATTTTCAGCAGTGTTTATAAGTGTCACATAACATGGTACATGGCTACAGGCCAATATTTATTTTATCTTCTGGGTTTTGTGATTGGCTACATCCTCTATGAATAATCATTTTGTGAGAATGTCCTTAACATTCATTGTCCCTATTAATAGTATTTACATACTGTCACTATTCCAAATGAAAGATTGAGGATTTCTGGCATATGCATGTGGTCCTTAAGTATATCTTATAATTATTCAGAATGCAGGTATAGATTTTAAATACAATACATGTTTTAGCTAATGTGAGTTTACTAACATGTGCTTAGCAGATACAAAAAATGCAAAAAGTATTCTTTATCCTGTACAAATATGACCTTAGTGGGGAGGGGTTTTCCCCCTTTTCAAAGATTTTTAAAATGTCTGACATTTTCTTCTCCATATATAGTATTTTTCAGTTCTATGTGTATTATACAACCTACTCTGTTTGGCCATTTTAGGTTATTTTGTTCCACTGAACTTATTCTTTGATAAAATCAGGATAGTTTTGTTCTAATTAGTGTCAGCTTTCCACAAGTCAAGAAATCTAAATCTCTAGACATTTTCAGCATAATGATTATATATGTTTAAAATAAATATGGTGTATATTTGCTTGTATATGTATGGACATGCATTGTAATATACACATAAAAACACATACATACATGGGGTTATTTTTCTTAAGGAAAAAAATGCATATATATTTGATTTTATATTCTATTTCTGTTGCTTTTTGCTCCAAGCTATTCATTTATTATATTTTTATCCATTGTCAATATTTTAGTTTTCAATCATATTTTGCTGTTTTTATTAAATTACTTTCTTTTTCAAGCTTTAACCTATAATATTTGAGAAACATTTCACTGTGACTTTTACATTTTTCTTTGATCTGGCTTTCTATTTTACACTCTAATTTTTTGTTCCTGCTTTTCAGAAATGTTGGAACAAAAAACAATCCTTCAGGATTTAAACTATAAAGCTCATTTACAAATATAACTTACATTCTTTTGATTTGATGAAACATACTCTTGAAATGAATCTCTTTCATTGCATCTGAGTTGCATTTGTTCAAATTAACGTTTTGAAAGAATTAACCAGCAAAATATATCTCTTTAGTTTGAAATGCTAAAAGGCCCTCTTTCTGTCAGAATGTTGTGCTTTGGAGTTACAAACCTGTCAATTTGTTTGGTTATAGTGAGATAGTAAGGGAGAATTGGTCATACTTTGTTTGTTAAAAGTTGAGGTTGCATGTCTTCAGTTGCTTGCCCCATAGGATCACATTTGTAATGTTAGCCTTTTTCTCTCCAAATGCAAAAAGTATGTAAACGTAACTTATTTTTGGCCTTTTTTTTCCCTCTGAAAGACTTTCATGACAAACAGCTGAAGAAGCATGCTGTGATAAGGTTGTGCATAGATCTAGCGTCAAAGAGCAAAATTTGTGGGCATGTACGGAACATTTGTTAGAATCCTCTAAGGGTTGCACTTTTTCCTGGGTAATAACTCTTCCAGGGAAACATATGGTTGTTTTAAAATGTTCTCAACTGGTGCTATATATTATATGCCCATGCTCACTTTGAATTTTACATTTTGTCCTTCGAATCCAGATCTTTGCACAGCTCTAAAGTACTGCAAAATTATTCTGATGTCTCATTTGATGACTTGCAGCATTTTTCATTTATTTCTACACCAATTGTAATTTTTTGCTATAATGACGTACTGGAAACTCAATAGAAACAAAATGACTAATTGAATACTCCAGCAGTTCTAGAAATAAGTCCCAATATATGGCATAGCTCATCTTATAGAACTGCCTCAACAATGATGGACAATGCCATATCTGGCCTTTTTCATCTTGGTAAATCTTTGCAACTGCTAATAAATATCTGGCATGGAGATAGGCTAAAAAGCTACAGTAACATGGATGCCCAAAATGTCTTACACTGGAGAGTCAGATCTGCAGTGTTTAATTTTCCTTCCAGAAATTATGTTTTAGTAATGGTTTGTGTATTTGCAGAAGTAGGCAACTCAGAACTGGAAGTGGTTCATGGGGGTATTGGATTTGATATGGCCTCAAAATAGATACAGTATGAGAGATTTCTAAGGGTTTATCTTTATTTACCTGATTTAGACATTAGAGTAGTATTGGATAAAACTAGTCAACACAATGTGGGCTATAGGAAACAGAAAGACTGTTTTCTCAGTTCTGGAAAGTGATTGTTTGGAAGAATGAATTAATAAATGGGAGAAATAAGCAACCCTGTTTTAAATTATGGTATAAATTATCAGTCTGAATGCTAGTTGTTCTGGTTTTTTCTGCTTTCAGTTTTGCATTAGAGCATTGGAAAACTGCTATCAGTTTGTTTGCTTGACAGTTGGGCTGCTAAAGGTGAGCGGGTTTTATGTATGGTATAAATGATGGAATCATATGCCCATAGATATGACTATAAGAAGAAATTGTAGTATTTAATATTTAGTGCTGTTTCTGAATAATTGGTGGTTGTTTATATTGAGTATATGGTGAGGCTAAAGAGAACTTACTGATTGTGGGATATATTTTCAGCTTATGCAGGTGTCTATCCAGATCTATTTTTGTTGTATCTTTAAATCTCATATAGTCTAAGATAATTGATTGCAGCACATATTCTGCTTACCTTGATATATTAGGAAAAACAAATTTTCACTGTAAAACATTTTCTGACTATGTATTGTGAAATAGGCAAATGGACATAGACAAGATATGCCTTAAAATTTCTTAATGATACCTATTAATATTGCAAGT